TTTAAGTGAAACAAAATATTTTTAGCTTATTAATTAATTATCATCAATTTATCTTTTATAAATATTTTATTAAAAACAAAAAACCAAAAAATGGACCAAATGTCCCTAAACTAAATTATTGGCACACTTGGGTTTCAATTAACTATTTTGTGAAAACTATCGATTTTGGCACTTTTTTTGCCTTATTCCTTTTTCCCCTATTCTCTAAATGGTATAATGACGAATTTAAAAGCCAAAATTATTTCGCGCAGTGTAAAAGCTATTGACATGCATCTTTACAAATGGATCGATACAAATGGATCTAACAATCTTACTTTGTGCTACTCTAATTGCATTTAGGTAAATTTCTAGCTTCCGTACAGCCCTAGGAATCTGGCATATCTGAGGTATACAGTGAGTACAATGTAGGGCCTAGTACACTGCCTTGAGGTCACTGTTCGATATGAATCTTTGAATGAGGAGGAAAAGCTGTGGCATAAGAAGGATCTTTAGCTTGCTCAGGAGACCGTCTTGCCATACCCTATCGAAAGCTTGTTGGATGTCCATGAACACAGCAATTGTGTACAATTTACTCTCCATAGCCTCCATAGCAACGTTGACCGTGACTTTTTCGAAAACCAAACTGCTATTTTGTAAAAGCTCTGCTCACACTTTCTGTGCGTTATTTATCAACAGAATGGCTAATAAGTGTTTTTGTATATCTGCAATTATCTTTTTAAAAAATGGTTATTTAACTAAACAAATTGTAATCCTAAATAACTCTAATTTGTGATGCTTTTGCCATTTTATGTTACAGTTGAATCAATACCAGAAGTAAAACCAAAAGGAAGAAAGAAAGGGAAAAGAAATCACTTAACCTTTGTATAAGCAACCCCGACACATGCATCCATTGGATTGCGACCCTTTTATCGAACTTGAACTCAAACTCAGTCGCCGGAAAGGAACGCAGTATGAGCTATTGCGGAATTGGAGTCAAACAGAATATAAATCAGTTAAACGATTTGGCCAGTACGAAAAAACAAGGAGAGGAAGGGGAAACTTGTGTTAAATTTCAGTATGGCGCTTGAAATCGATAAACTGCTTAAAAACATTTATGACAATTTCAATAAATAATTTTTTAAAATGGAAAATTATTAATATAGGTACAAAAATACAATATCTTGAGTTACATTCAGTTAGTTTGAAAAACAAAGAAGTTATGACGATCTTCCTATAATATTCCAATTAATTTTTGTATCTTCCCTATTGTGGCTAAGTCTAATTACAATATTTCGTAAGTACGCATGAGTTAAAAAAACCAAGCTTTAATTTGTTTTTTGCTCCCATGTAAGCTCTAATATAAAATAAGCTTTAGTGTCGGAAATGTTTAAAGTAAAGTAAAGTCTTAAGTTTTCAGTTTTGAAGGGTATTGGTGCACGGAGCTAACCAGGTATGCAATAATTGGAAGATGTTGTGTTAGAGAAAGTATATTTCATAGATGAATAACGACTTAAAGGAATAAACTAAAAAATTAACCCAAACATAAGAATAACTATATAGCTGCCATTGAAACGATGAAAAAATATAGGGCAAAATCCACATAGCTTCATTTTAATTAGTAATACAGGCATAGAAATCGAAAAGTAGACGTTTTGTAATAACTGCAAGGGTGTATAAACTTCGGTTTGCTGAAGTTTCTTTCTTTATTGTTTTGAATAGCTTTGAACTAAGAATCTAACTCTAACTAAAGAGGGGCTATAGCTCCTTTAATTCTCCGGTACCAATCACTGCTCACAGAAATAAAATACATAAAAATAAAAAAATACATTTACTACTATTTTGGAAACCCCAAAAGTAAATTCTGTAAAAATTTCCATTTTGGCATTTTTACTTATTGTACAATTTATCCTGTTATCCTTGTTAATTAGAGAAGTATTTTTTCGTTTGCGTTCATAAGAGAGACTCTAAACCGAATATTGGCAGCTGTTAAATACTGCTTTAACAACCCCTTAAAGTAAGTACAAGTTTAAAATTGCCTAAATATAATAAAGTCCAACGCTTGGGCAATTTGCCTTTGCGACCTCAGCGCTGATTATGACGGCGAACAGGGCACATTAATGCTGATGAGATGTTGCCGCTAAGTAGCATTCCCAGAACCCATTTCGTTCTCATTTGCAGTCCCACGTCAGTTTCCCAGGGCATCAGGTAAGCAAGTAGCCCCGAATAGGTAGGATGTGGAAAATTGGCGACCCGCGAAACAAAAAGAATCTTAGCGGTTGCTAGGCCGGCCCCACATTCTCTTACCTCACCTGTTTCCCCCTACCCTTCCAGCTGTCTTTCTCTCTTGACTTTGCAATTAAATATGCACATTCTCATTAAAAGTTTGCGCCATTAATAAACGCCAACAGGGATGTAATTTAATACGGTTAAAAAGCACAACATGTGTAGGGTAAGAGGAGCCGAAAGCGAGTCCTGAGGTGGGTGGGAATTCGCACACTGCATTACATTAAACATGCAGACATGCGAGAACCGCTCGCCTCGGATGGAACAAAGCTCATAAAATTTGCAAATGTAAATAATTTTCTTAACGAATTTTCCCCGTTCCAGCCGTCTGTCTTTTCGGTCCTTCGGTCCTTGTGTCCTGGTCCACATTAAAGCTCGTCAGACGCTGGCTGCAAATTTGTCAAGTGACAGGCCGCATAGAACAAGACACGACACATATGGCCAGCGCTGGAGCACCGGCTCCCCCGCCTGACATAAATAATAAATAATTGAAAACGCCTCACGGGAATTCTGTGCCATTGCCTTCGTGAGAACTTTGCCAGCCAACAACTTGGCCCTAATATTACAGCAGGTCTTTGCCAAGTCTTAGTCGTCGCCGGAGCCTTTATAATTCCAAGATTTCAAGGCCCTTCCAAAAGAATTGGCTTACAACGTCAAGTTAGATAGGAACATTTTTGGTAATTATAAAAATTGAAGCCGATAAGATAAGACCGAAGTTTTCTCTCACGTAAACAATTTGCTAATGCACGAAGGTGGTCTTACAAGTGAGTTCCTATTTACATTTGACGTAGACCTCGCTGCAAAAGTTCAATGTTTTCTTTAAATTTTGATATATTTCGCTACATACAAATATTTTTTCCAGCCACCCCGAACATTAATTGTCGGCAAAGTAGGCGCTGTGATGGCAAATTGTTGACAGCTTGCTTTCTTGGCCGTCTTTAGTCTGCTCTCTCTTTCTTGTTGCCTAGTTCTTGGTCCAATTCCGGCGGGAAATTAAAGTAAAAGTTTACGTTTTTTAGCCCTACGCACTTCGGGTACTCCCACGCTCTGGCCCCTCACGAATTGGCTCACATGTGGGGCGAAATTGTTGCTCATTATGTATTTATGTCAATTTCTGACTCTCCTGTGTGTGTTGGGCCGCAATGACATGTAAAACCTTTTTGGGGACCCAGAGCCTGCGAGTGTGTCTTGGGCGGGGGGAGGTGTGAGGGGGGAGGGGCGATATGGGACTCCCGTCACCTGGCCAACAAGCATTTAATGACTTTGGCTTGCTCTCTTTTGGGCCGCATTTAGCGTATAAATTCACTGTACATTCCCGAGCTGTTGCCATTTTTACTCCTTCGGCAATCGTAAATGTGTGTGTAGGGTTTGTGAGCCCATTTCAGGTATTTTTATTTCAGCGTTACTTTTTATGAAACTCACAAACACACACACACATAGGGACACGTTTTTTATATTTTCCGTGACGCGAAACCGGAAAAGTGAAAAGCGTTTCTTAGGCTGCGAGGGGAATTTCAGACGGAATATTGTAAAAGGATTTGCTTTGGCTGTCTTGCTAAATTTTTATGCTTGTGAGAAAGAGGTTAATAAAACTAAGTTTTTATATGGACTTAGCCCAGCCTCACATAAATCATATATTTGCTATATGTTTGATGTGTTTCGTGGTGTTGCGCCGCCACACACAATGTACAATGCTCTGTAATCGAAATATGTTGCCATAAATTCCATGCTCATACCTGGTATTCGAGGTACTTATAAAAGCGGAAGATTTGGAATTACTACAAAAAAAAAAACATTTTTGTTTTTAAATCTTTAGCAAAAATATTTCAAGCGACAAATATTTTGTGAATTTCCTAAAAATTACCCATACTTAAGAGTAAATGTTACAAACAACCAAATAGGCTTTCAAATTCTCCAGCCGACAAATTAAAAAAGAACCTTCTACCAATAAACACAGTAAGCGTATATTTATACCCGTTACTCGTAGAGTAAAAGGGTATATTGTATTCGTGCAAAAGTATGTAACAGCTAGAAGGAAGCGTTTCCGACCCTATAAAGTATATATATTCTTGATCAGGATCACTAGCCGAGTCGATCTAGCCATGTCCGTCTGTCCGTCTGTCCGTCTGTCCGTCTGTCTGTCCGTCTGTCTGTCTGTCCGTATGAACGCTGAGATCTCGGAAACTATAAAAGCTAGAAGATTGGCATTTTGCATGTAGATTTTAGAAGTTCCTACGCAGCGCAAGTTTGTTTCAAAATGGTGCCACGCCCCCTTTAACGCCCACAATCGCATATATACGATTTTAAAAATTTAAATATTTCGGAAAAGTAAAAATGCAGTTTTATTGTGTTTATCAATACCTATCGAAATGTAGAAGAAATTTTTCAAATCGGACCATTCGTTAAAAAGTTATGCGTGATCAAAGTTTCTATCTCCATCTCCCTCGCACTCCCTTTACCTGAGTAACGGGTATCTGATAGTCGGGGCACCCGACTATAGCGTTCTCTCTTGTTTTCAAATAGAGACTGTTACAGTAAAACCAGTACTGTTTATTGATGTAATTACTAACAGCTGGATTGATCAGCAGGAAGATCAAAATATTAATAATTTAGTTGTTCCAATTCTCCATAATAAATATAAGAATTTCACAAGACAAAATCCTTCGATTGACACGCGAATTTCAAGACTCAGAAATAATAATGGTCTTAAACCACTTCAGACTTTTCCAAGGTCTTACGGGCAACAAAAGCGTAAAAAATTGTCAGGTAATTTTAAAACATCCAATTTGTACACACTTCACATATATTTTTTTAGTTTTTGAATAAAAAATTCTACAAAATATGAACATTTTTGATGGGTAAGTTAAGTACTGTCTAATTTCGACACTTAATTGTTTGTACTTCTATTTATACTTTATTGTCGGACTGGCAAATATAATAACGTTGAAGTTCGCACGGGATGTCGTTCATTATCCCGTTCCAGATGTTGACACAGTTCTCATTGCCACCGTAGTTGTTGGGTTCTCCCTTATTCCAAGTCAAAAATATTGGTGGATTGCCGGAGGCTGTTACAAACTCGCCTTCCTTTTCCCGATCGGTGATGCCCACCCAGTAAGAAATATCCTGATGCAGTTTCGAAGTGACGGCGCTTAATTCTTTCTGATTTTGGAAAGCTGCTAGATGACCTCCCATTTTACGACAGGTGTCCTCAGCGTTAATCCAGGTTTGTTTAAAATTATTTTCTATATAAAAATATCGAGATTCGATCCACTGGAAGCCCATTGAGTTGCTCTTGACCTGTTGGAAAATTCTGTCCATCGAGTCCTGATTTTCTCTTTGAATCCTCTCCATAGATGCCTGAGTCTCCAGAGTTCCTTTTTCGATTCTGTTCATCTTGGTCTCTTGTGACGTCACTGCAACTTGTTGAATTGTTTCAAAATTATTCCGAGACTCTTTTTGTACCGCCAGTATAGCTTCTTCAATCCTGTCCAGCCTCTTCTGGTTTTCATTTAAAATTTCAGAAATGGAATCCATCTGCCTCTGAACCTTGTAATTGTGATCAATGAATGGCCGTTGAGCGGAAAGGCAGAATGCCCCACATTGACTTGGGGCATCCTTCAGAATACAAACTGAATCCACATTTTCCTGGGATTTAACAATGCTGTACAGATTGCAAACGACAAAAGCGTACACTAAATATATTTCGAACTTAAACATTTCGACAGAGTTTTAAGAGCTTTGAACCGCGAAAGGCAAATTATGCCTATGAACTGATTTTGAATATGTTCGCCGATCTCTTTTATAGGGTTTCCCAAATATATATATTATTTAAACAAATGCCTTGTGTGAATGTTTAGCTAAAAAAAATGAATTATTAAGGCAGCTGGACCCCCATGCCCATTTTTAAAATTGCACGCGTATTTTCTGAAGATACAAACAATGCAAACATAAATAAACACTTCATGTTTACGTTAAGAAATAAACAAGAAAGGAAAGCTAACTTCGGGCTGAGCCGAAGTTGACATACCCTTGCAGAATATTCTGCAAATTATATTATCCAAAATCGGACCAGTTGGTCAAAAATAAAACCCGTAAAAAATCCCAACTACCTAACTTTACAAACACCAAAGTTATGGCATTTCCGATCAATCAGTTATATGGCGGCTATAGGATATAGTCGGCCGATCCTTATAAAATTTGGTAGGTCAGATTGATTGGCCAAAAGTAAAACCCATAGACAATCCCAACTTCCTAACTTTAAAAACGCCAAAGTCATGGTCCGATCGTTCAGTTATATGGCAGCTAAATGATATAGTCGCCCGAAACGGCTCGATCCGACTTATATACTACCTGAAATATAAACACAACTTTTGAGAAAGTTTCAAGCAGATAGCTTTTAAACTGAGGGACTAGTTTGCGTAGAAACGGACGGACGGACAGACGGACAGACCGACATGGCTAGATCGCCTCTCCTGAAGATGCTGATCAAGAATATATATACTTCATATGGTCGGAAATGTCTCCTACACTGCGTTGCAAACTTTTGACTGAAATTATAATACCCTCTGCAAGGGTATAAAAATTAAATATTATATATTTTATGTGTAAAGCCGTAGAAAAAAGTTTTGTAAGCTTTTTGTGGTTACAAAAATTATATATTCTATATTTTATACTGAGGGACTAGTTTGCGTAGAAACGGACGGACGGACCCGTAATTTTAGTGTTTGGTGGATAATAATATAACATATATTTTATTTATACGTTAATCTGCCAATTAAATGGCTATAAAACGCAGTGAAGGCGACATTTCTGACCCTATAAAGTACATATATTCTTGATCAGCATTACCATGAGAGTCGATTTAACCCCGTCCGTCCGTCCGTCCCTTAGCTTTAAAGCTATCTGCATAAAACTTTCCCAAAAGTTGACTTTATATTGTCTTTCTGAGAAACTAATTTGGGTTGCCAATTTTTGACTGAAACCATAATTCCCTCTGCAAAGATGTAAAAATCAGGGTGACATAAGATAATGTGTTTTGTAAGTATTGATTTTTGAAAAGTACACGGAAAAAAAAGTTTTACTCAAATCAGTTTTCGACTTTCTCTCTTACCTTAAGTCGATACTGTGCTCTGTTGCTCATTTCTTTGCTTTATTTATCTTCTCCCTTTTCGTCTATTTTACTAAAGTGAAAAAAGAATGAAATAAAATATTTGGCTCTTGATTTATTCAGAAACCTCCACAGAGATTGTTATGATGGAAGAGGTGTGGGATGGGGGTGGTCTTTTGCAACAACTAGCGTGTGACTGACTGCGTATATGTGCGAGCATAGTGTGCGTTTGTTATTAAATAAATTGACTGACAAAACCCACATACACGAAGCCACAATGGTCCAGTCAGTCACAGCTGAGAGGAAATTCGAGCTGAGTCCTGACGCTGGATCTGTTCCTGGCCCTAGGTATTTCATCATGTCATGAAAATTGTATGGAAATTTAATTGAAAACATAAGCCAAGGATAACAGGCTAAAAAGGACAGGCAATCACACACCCACTCAGACATCCGAGCAAAATGGTGGCAATGGTGGCCACAGTGAAACGAGAAAGCGAGACGGATCCAGCTTAACAACTACGGCCGCCATCTGCCTCGACCCCGCCCTTTCCCCTGGACCTACTCATTGTTTCCTGCCGTGCACAGAAAGTGAACGAAATGATATAAATAAATAAACAAACTACAAGATAAAGCTATTTGCAATTTGATTGTCAATTTTCATGAGCCCTGGAGCGGCAGGGTGAGGCAGCGGTGGTCTCTCGGCTTTGGGAAAAAGTTGTGATTGTCAGGACGTTTCCACAGCAAAAAAAAAAAACTTTTTTGCTGTGAGTTTCGGTTCATCTGTCAGTGGGTAAAGTCACTTACTCATTGATGCAGTCAATCAAATTTCATGAGTGATTTTTGTTAAACCAAGAAAACTTTGTTGCTTTTCTGTCAATTTTCATTTACATTTCTCGGTTGATTGCTTCGAATGGCATTTTATGTCCTTTCCATTTCGTTATTGCTTCATCATTTCCTTCACTCAAAGTTTAATTGCATTTCGTCAATTTTATTTTCTAGCCCAACATTTTCCACACAGTTATGAAGTGCTTTTGCCCCATCCAAGCTACTGCCGTTTACAATACACCTCACCCACCACTTATTATAATGACCCACTTCAAAGGCCCAACCTCGTCGAAGCCCACGAAAAAAGAGAAACCTAATTAAAAAGCGCTTAATGCTGGATGAACTCGCTGGGCCCGGGCGTGTGCTAATTTCATAATCCAAATAAAGTTTCAATTAATTTGGCCAGCGAGAATTTTTATAAAATTCTTTTTTTTGAGTTCGTATTGCTTTTGAGAACGTTCAGCGTTCAAGCTAGCCAATAAAATGAGCAAACATTAAAATGGGCAAAGAAAAAAGATTACCTATATATAAATGTATACCTTGATAAAATGTTATATCTTAAACAAACTCTACCTTACAAGAAGCTAGCAAAAAAGGCTGTGAACCCCTACAGTGCACACCCACTTGGAACTGATTTTATTTTTTGTTCGGAACAATCATTAAAAAAATGAAAACGTCTTCAAATTTACTCTCCCAGAAATTGTCTTTCTATTGAAGGTAGTATATAAGTCGGAACGAGACGGATCGGGCGACTTATCATATAGCTCCCATTGGAACAATTGGAAAAAAGTTCATCAAAATTATAGCTTTGTTGCTTTTAATTTTTTTGTTCTTTGGGATTTGGTAATTCAGTTTTTTCTCACTACATTTTTAACGCAATGGTACGTGCTACGTATCGTTCAAATAGTAACTTTAAAGGCAATATAAATAAAAATTGTAGCCAAAAATAAGTATTTATGTTCACTTTCCAGAATTTTTTAAAACACGATTGGCCAGTTCTTTTTAGTCTCGAGCTCTAATAGCTGTTGAGATTACCCGACTTTTGATATATGTACATATAATACATTTTTGTCTGAAAAATTAGAGTTTCGGGAAAAATTGCAACCCATTTAAAATCCTTATACTGAACATTTAATGTTTTTTTTTTATGCGCAAAAAACTATGCTAAACCAATTTGATGATGTAAAATTTTCACAAATGTATTTTCAATTTACTTTTGTTTTGCAAGCCAAAGGATTACTATGTCTATCACTAACGACTTTTATTACCTGTTTGTTATTTAAAATTTTTGGGCGAGATTTGGTAGTCCATACAGTTTTATTTTTATACCCTTGCAGAGGGTATTATAATTTCAGTCAAAAGTTTGCAACGCAGTGAAGGAGACATTTCCGACCCTATAAAGTATATATATTCTTGATCAGCATCACTAGGAGAGTCGATCTAGCCATGTCCGTCTGTCCGTCTGTCCGTCCGTCTGTCCGTCTGTCCGTCTGTCCGTCCGTCCGTCCGTTTCTACGCAAACTAGTCCCTCAGTTTTAAAGCTATCTGCTTGAAACTTTCCCAAAAGTTGTCTTTCTATTGCAGGTAGTATATAAGTCGGAACGAGCCGGATCGGGCGACTATATCATATAGCTGCCATATAACTGAACGATCGGAAAAGCCATAACGTTGGTGTTTTTAAAGTTAGGAAGTTGGGATTTTCTATGAGATTTATTTTTGGCCAATCAATCCGACCTACCGAATTTCATAAGGATCGGACGACTATATCCTATAGCCGCCATATAACTGAACGATAGGAAATGCCATAACTTTGGTGTTTTTAAAGTTAGGAAGTTGGGACTTTTTATGAGTATTAAGAATACAGCATATGAATAATTTTGAAGAATATAATTTACAGAATATTCTGCAAGGGTATATCAACTTCGGCTGCGTCCGAAGTTAGCTTTCCTTTCTTGTTATCCTTGTATTATTATGCATTTAGACGAAGCCTATCGAACACTTGAATTCTACAATTATGATTTTTAAAGCAGCCACTGATTTTTAAAAGGAATAGCTTTTTCCAATAAAGTGACCTCTTCAGAATCTAATCAAAGAAAAGCAAATCCAATGTGGTGTTTACAATTTAACAGGCGGCGTCCATTAAAAATCACCATTTAAAAAATTTCCGAGGCACAAAAAGCAACCTTACTAGTGCGAAGTGCATAGAAGGCAACTGGACAGACGGATGGAAGATGGTTAGAGTTTATTCAGGACTCGGCTTGCATCAATAGCGGGCTCATAGCGTTTATTGAAGTGAATGAAATTAGACGACCGTCTGATAAAGTAGCAATTCAATGAGAATTCTATTGACTGGTCAGGCTGCCATAAGCCTAATGTAAATCCTCCCCAACTCTCTGCGCCAGCCGATGTCGTCGCAGTCTGCACTGAAAACGTCCATTAGCTAAGCAGATTAATTGCTAAAAGGTATTTAATTCGTGATGCTTATATATTTCGCTGAGTTCACTTTATTCTCCACTCTGCAATCTGTTTGTATTTGGGCCATTCCACCATCCAAACGAATATTCCCCATTGCTTTTTTCTTTTATTCTGTTCAGGTTTCTTTTTTTTTCTGTCTCCCTCAGCTGCTGTGCTTTTTGAGTTCCTTGAAAATATGGCGTTAAGTATTTTGTGCTGCCTTTTCTTCTCCTGAATTTCTTTTCGCCTTTTAATGCTTCATTAGCTGCTAATAGAAATTGTGTAAAGCTGAGCAGGGACAACTAAAGAATTAAGTGTAGATTTTGATTTGCCTTGGCACAAATTTTTATACCCTTGCAGAGGGTATTATAATTTTGGTCAAAAGTGTGCAACGCAGTGAAGGAGACGTCTCCGACCCTATAAAGTATATATATTCTTGATCAGGATCACCTCCTGAGTTGATATAGCCATGTCCGTCTGTCCGTCTGTCTGTCCGTCTGTCCGTCTGTCTGTTTCTACGCAAACTAGTCTCTCAGTTTTAAAGCTATCGAATTGAAACTTTGCACACACCCTTCTTTCCTTTGCACGCAGTATATAAGTCGGAACGGCCGGGATCGGCCGACTATATCCTATAGCTGCCATATAACTGATTGATCGGAAATGCCATAACTTTCGTGTTTGTAAAGTTAGGAAGTTGAGATTTTCTATGGGTTTTATATTTGGCCAATCAATCCGACTCACCAAATTTCATAAGGATCGGCCGACTATATCCTATAGCCGCCATATAACTGATTGATCGGAAATGCCATAACTTTCGTGTTTGTAAAGTTAGGAAGTTGGGATTTTCTATGGGTTTTATATTTGGCCAATCAATCCGACTCACCAAATTTCATAAGGATCGGCCGACTATATCCTATAGCTGCCATATAACTGATTGATCGGAAATGCCATAACTTTCGTGTTTGTAAAGTTAGGAAGTTGAGATTTTCTATGGGTTTTATATTTGGCCAATCAATCCGACTCACCAAATTTCATAAGGATCGGCCGACTATATCCTATAGCCGCCATATAACTGATTGATCGGAAATGCCATAACTTTCGTGTTTGTAAAGTTAGGAAGTTGGGATTTTTTATAAGTATTAAGAATGCATTATATGAATAATTTTGGAGAATATAATTTACAGAGTATTCTGCAAGGGTATATCAACTTCGGCTCCGCCCGAAGTTAGCTTTCCTTTCTTGTTCTTAAATATTTTTGAAAATGTGTAAACAGATAAAGAATATTTTCTTAAAGCCAACGCTTTTCCCCTAAAGACTTGTCAGTGGTATGAACTTTAGTTTCGCGCCTCGACCAAGAAACTTGTGTGATTTATGTGCAAATAAACCACAAAAGCATTGCAAGTTCTATGTTGTAGAAAAGAAAGTGCATCGGGTGGGAAGAAGTAGAGGGTAAAGGCATGCAAGTAGCAATGAAGTAAGACGTCAGGTAGACAATTCAAATTACCGTACCAGCTGTTGCCTGGCCGAACAAACAGAAATACGAAATGACAAAACAGGAAAAAAGCTAAAATTCAAAGGAAGGAGTATACGAACACTCAGTAAGTTTGCAGCGAAAAAGAAAAACGTCAGCTGCATCAGTAGTGAAAGCTTCTTCGGAAAAGTTCCAGATTTGGCGAGAGTAAAAAATGTTACAACAGCAACTTTGAAAATCACGAGATAGAGTTATTAAAGTTAGGAAGGGTGCTTCGCTTCCCTGCAGATCAATATGGAACATTTACTGGATATTTATATACTTATAGCTGAATATGTTATAGTGTTATCTATACGTACGCTGATTATTAGACTTAAATAAATTATGTGAGTTCGAGATCTTAATTTTAACAAGAAAGGAAAGCTAACTTCGGGCGGAGCCGAAGTTGATATACCCTTGCAGAATATTCTGTAAATTATATTCTCCAAAATTATTCATATGATGCAATCTTAATACTCATAAAAAATCCCAACTTCCTAACTTTAAAAACACCAAAGTTATGGCATTTCCAATCGTTCAGTTATATGGCAGCTATAAGATATAGTCGTCCGATCCTTATGAAATTTGGTAGGTCGGATTAATTGGCCAAATATAAAACCCATAGAAAATCCCAACTTCCTAACTTTACAAACACCAAAGTTATGGCATTTCCGATCAATCAGTTATATAGCAGCTATAGGATATAGTCGGCCGATCCTTATGAAATTTGGTACGTCGGATTGATTGGCCAAATATAAAACCCGTAGAAAATTCCAACTTCCTAACTTTACAAACACCAAAGTTATGGCATTTCCGATCGTTCAGTTATATGGCAGCTATATGATATCGGATATCGGATCGGGCTACTGATCCGGCTCGTTCCGACTTATATACTACCTGCAATAGAAAAACAACTTTTGGGAAAGTTTCAAGCAGATAGCTTTAAAACTGAGGGACTAGTTTGCGTAGAAACGGACGGACGGACAGACGGACAGACGGACAGACGGACATGGCTATATCAACTCAGGAGGTGATCCTGATCAAGAATATATATACTTTATAGGGTCGGAAATGTCTCCTTCACTGCGTTGCAAACTTTTGACTGAAATTATAATACCCTCTGCAAGGGTATAATAAATATTTTGGTATATGTAATAATAATAAATACATAAATCTTACCTTTGATTTTAGTAGATATAAACACAAAATAAATCTATTCTCATATACCCACTTGTCAATGTTAATTTTATAACTAATTTTTAGGGAAGTTTATTGATGAATCATCCCAAGCTTAAAAAAATTGAATATATACAATTTAATTTTGAATAAAAAAAAGTATCCTGCATTAAAATTATTACGATAGTCTGTTAAGTTTAGTTTTTAAAGGCTTTTAAAGTTTTGTTTAGTTATTGACTGAAATAAGCTGAGCCAATTTATTTTATTTTTTTAATGTTTAAGTGACGGTGTCCTAGTTTGGCAATTTGAGCTACTATTTCTTTAATTTTTATTTTGATGGCTATAGGTCAGCATTAAAGCTTTGACAGTTTCTGTGAATAACTAGTATGGTTACTATTGCAATAATAATTAATATTTAGCTATTGCATTAAACTTCAAATTTAAAATATTCAAACATGTGTGCTCAAAGCTGTGCTCTGCAAACAGGCACAACGCTGCGATCACTTTTGTATTAAAGAGATCGCAGAAAGGATCGAACTGCTGTTACTAGATGACATTCTCATACATCTTCGGGTTCCTCTGGATGTTTTCCTCCATGGTCTTCTTGTGCATCGTCTCCAACATTTCCAGCCTGGCCAGGACATCAGGTAAGACTTCGCGCACCTTCAAGCGGTTAAACTCGGGTCCGTCCCGCAGGTCAACATTGGTCCTGAAGTTGTAATTGGGCGTGTAGCCGTTGATCTTTAGGAAGTGGTCAAAATAGAAGGGCACGATCTGCTCCTGCATATTGTCCACGGTCAGCAGGGAGGTGTGGGTAATCTGGTCGCCTGTGTAGCCGTCCTCCCTGAAGGCGCGCACAAAGTTCTTCGTGTTCTCAGATATCACCAGCACCTCCTTCTCCTCTGGGATGACCCTCTTCTTGAGGTACAGCCTCGGCAGACGACCCTCGCGCTTCGGCTTCTTGTAGGGTGGCTCCAGGTTGCGTCGCACCTTCTTCATCTCCATGTCGATGCGCCGTTCCACCTGATAGGCCTGGTAGGAGAGCTTTTCCCTGTACCGGCGTTGCTTGCGCAGCGTGGCTTCCACGGACCGGACCTTCTCAATGTCCATGTGCTCGAATTTCGACAGGATCTCCATGACAACGTCACTTACAGCGGCCACCATGTCAGCAGTGCTGGGCAGGACATCACTGGTGCCGCGAACCGAGTCCGGGACCACGCGACGCCACACCTCGGCCAGCACGGCACGGTGCTTGTTGAAGTCCTCGTCCGCGATCGTCTCCTCGATGGGACGGGCCAGGTATTGGTGGACCCGCTCCTCCATCTCAATGGCACGGTCCTCCATGAAGAACTTCTTGGCAGACTTACGGGCAACATACTCCTGCTTTTCCCTCAGGTCATTGGTGCACCAGTCGACAAATGTCTCAAGACGGCCCTGCAGTTCAGTGTGAATGGATAACGTGAGGTGCATTTCGAGAAGCAACATAAACGTCTTGGTCTTCAGGCTTTCGAGGCCCTGCAGGAAGGACTCCGCGTCTGGGAAGACCTGCAGGATGGGGTGGACCTTTTGCATGTAGACGTCGTAGTAGAAAGTGCGGATGGCCCAGGCGTCGTCTTTGTCGCGCACTCGAATGTTAACGATGGCTCGCTTCGCAATCGACACGTCGTAGGGCTCCAGTTCCGTTTCCTCCCCGTCCCCACTTTCTGGCGTCCCCACACTGTGTTCCTCATCGTCCTCGCCCTCTCCACTGCCCACTCGGTGGCCATCCTTGGGGACCAGGTGTATCCAGTCGTGCACCGCTCGCCAGTCCTGGTCGCCCATTAGGTAGTGGAAATTCTGCAACATGATGCAGCGAATCCAGTGGCCCTCGATGAACACAATGTCCATGTTGAGCATCATCAGCTCGCGCTCTAAGTTGCGGTATTCCTGCTTCAGCTTGTCGGTGGTCTCATAGTACGACTTTACCTGGTACACCATCGTCATGGCCGCGTTGTACTCCTTCTTCTTCCACTTGGCGAATAGTGCCTCGTACAAGTTCTTGGTGTTCTTCATGTCCACCCAGTGGCGCTCGTTCATGCGGTCGTAGATCTTGGTGCGCACCATTTGCCCCTGGATTAGCAGGGACTCGTACTTCAGTCGCATGGCGTCCTTGAGCAATTGGATGCTTGTCTTAAACTTAAAGGACTTGATTGTGGCGCGGCTCTTGAGCTCCTCAATGTAGTTCTCGTCGAGGTCAGTGATCACCGCCCCGTAGTACTTGCGGCTGCCGGGTCCCAACAGCGTCTTGCGGACGTCCGGCACCGCAACCTCCAGTCGCAGGCGAAGGCTGTTTCGCAGCCGAGTACTGAAGGTAAAAAACGTGTCCTTGGGCCCCAGCATATCGGCCTGCTCCTTGTGCTGGCCCGAAAAGGGCAGCATGCGGTAGGGGTCCTCGTCCTCGGCGTTCACATCGATTACCGCAGCGTGGAACCGAGCTCGCCGCATCTCCTCGAACGGCACCAGCGGCTTTCGAATGTAGTCCAGGGGCAACTTGGTCTTGTCCTCGATCACCATGTAGCTGCCACTGTCGTTGGAAAGATCGGTGCAATCGGAGCTGCTCAACGAGGTCAGGCAGTTCTCAATGCTCTTGAGATCCTCCTCGAGGTCCGCAACCACTGCGCGGCGGTCAACCAAGAGGCGCTCTTCGCCGGGCTCGATGTCTTTGGTCTCGTAAATGGCTTCGCGTGTCTCACGCAGCAGATCCAGGTACTGTCTCCTACCCGGAAAGTCCACCTTGGCCAACTCCTCGGGATCGCGCGAATGGAAGACGAAGTCGTATGGCTGGCACAGGTCGGGCACTATTTCGCCAGCCGCCTCCTTGTTGTCAGTCCGTGTGGCGGCCAGGTGCTCAGCGATCACCTTCTCAAAGTCATAGCTGGGCATGGTCAGGTCCTTGTCCACATACTTGCTGCTGGGCGGATTGGCCCTCTCAAACTTCAGTACCGGCTCACGCACCTTCTTCGCCACCTTCGTAATCTCCGGCAGCACGGTCTTCGGCTGATACTGAACGTGGACATTCTTTACTTGGGTCGGTGCCCAATGGTCGTGGTGGTGTCTGGCCTCAAATATTTCTGTATACGGGCGCTTTTTAGTCCTCACATTGGCAAAGCGTAGCTTCTCTGGCTCCGGCTGCTCCAGGAGCGGCAGTGGCGAGTACTGCAGCACCTCGTTGAAAACCGCCGATGGAATGCGCTCGGCAGCGTAATCGCGCTTCCGTCTCGGGTGAATCGTTAGGGTCTTCTCCCTTTCCTTGGGAGCTGGCATGTTTCCCCGCCAGCGGGCCGGTTGGGATTCCACGCTGGCTGAGAAGGGTCCGCCCATGATGGCCTCCTGACCAGAGCGGGCGCGATTAAAGCCGGACCATCCGGACTTCTTTGGGTTGGGTGCGCTGCGTATGGCCTCCGGATGAGAGAAGCCGGTTAGCCCCTTGTGCGGACGGTCGCATCCGCCCTCCTGACGCTCCTGACCCTCCTGACCCTCGCCCTCATTGTAAGGAGGCTCTGGAGTTGGCACCCAGTCGACGTCCAGTTCCTCCTCGACCTCCAGGCAGGGATCTGCCGCCCTCAGCTCCTGCTTCTCAATGCAGGGCAGGCCGAGCAGCTGCATCCGGGCCAGCTTCTTCTTGTGGCGCTTGGACTTGGCCAGCTGCTGCTTGAGATCGAGGTACTCCAGGGTGGTGTTCACCTTGGTGGCGTCCAGCACCTCCATTTCCTCCACCGGCACGCGGTCATCGGGGACAAGCACCTTCTCGGGAAAAACGTAGCGGATCAGATTGAACTTCTTCACGTTGTACGCCGGCTTGGGCTTAACAATTTTCAGGTTTTTGCGTAGCCGGCGGTGGTAGTGCAGGCCGAGACGCTGATCGATGAATTCCCTGACGGCGCTCTGTCGCTCCCGCCTCCTCACGAGCAGAGGCTCCGGCGGAAAGAGGTCCAAGTTTGGGTCGTCAGGGTCGAGCACCTATAAAAAGCAAGGTCAAATGTAAGACTAGTAAGAATGGTTATTTAATTGGGGGAATACGTTTGAAGCACATCAAATTATTATTTTCCGTAGGTAAGAAAAATATTTGTTTTTTATAACATTATATATTTAAATTTAATAAAAACTAAACAGCATATTATAGCATGATTGAACTGATTTTCGACTTACATTTAAAATTAACCAAGCGTTGGTATGGCAATTTACAATAATCTTAACTATACTATGAGTACTAGCGTATATCTTTGAAACCAAAGTTGTGTCGATTTTCTCACTTAAAAAAATATATACATAAATAATATAATATGATAATATAATATGATAATATAATATGATAATATAATATGATAATATAATATGATAATATAATATGATATAGCTGTCCGATTCGGGTCGATCCGACCTAAAATTGAAAAAAGGCTTTTGGGTAAGTTTTATTGAAATAACTATACAAAATAAGAGACTAGTTTGAGTAGAAACGGATGGACGAACATACAGACATGGATGTATCGAATTTCGTGGTGACACTGAACAAGAATATGTTCACTATATATGTATGTAGGGTCGGAGATTTCCATTTCACTGCCTTCAAACTTTTTACCGAAATTATAACACCTTCTTAAAGGAGTATAACAATACAGACATTTTATAGTGAAAATGTTTGCTGCTAAATGTTTTACCCAGCAAACAACGGTATTCCGTTTTCAAATTTGTAAAGCCCAAAGTCGACCCCCTCTTAAATACAAATGTTTGATAGCTCGGACATACAAACTGCAGTCCAAGATTCCCTTTTTGCTATAGGGTCACCCCAAAGGCGATGCCCAACCGCCTGATTACCCACCTTGATAATGCCGCGCTCCACATCCAGCTTGATGGGCTCCTTGTGCGGAACCAGCTGGTTGAGCCACTCCTCGCGCGTGAGGCATCCCTTCACCGTGCGCTGGCCCTGCATAATTTGGTGCCGGTGCAGCTTGCCACGCAGGCCGTCGCCGTGCTTGAAGTGGAAGCCACGCAGCTGGAACTTGTCGCCAATTTTGCCCACCTGCAGGTAGTCCTCGTCGTCGCTGCTCTGCTCGCTGGGCGTGGATCCCACGCTGCCCTCGATGCTCTCGTCGCAGCCCAGCTGCTGCTCCGCGTCCGGAAGGTACTTCAGTTTTCCGGTGCGCTCCAAGAAGAACTGCTGCGTGACACGGGCCTTGTCGCGACGCACGCAGTCCTCGCGGTGCATGATCGCCTTCAGCCGCTCCGTTTCGGTGAGGGTCTTGGGGAAGACCTTCCGCTTGCGGATGATGGGCTTGAGCTCCACGTGCTTGCGGAAGCTGCGCTCGATGGCGTCGTCGATGACCGCCACGTCGGCACGCAGGTCCTCCTCGGCCACCGTCCGTCCCTCGACCTCCTTGACGGCCGCCTCCTGCTTGCGCCGCTCTTGGAGCTCCACCTCCTCGCGCTGCTTCTTCCGCAGATAGATGTCCTTGTAGCGGGCGGCCCGTCGCCTGTGCTCCTCCTCGATCTTCAGCTTGTTGGCCGGCTTGTCGGGGCTGCGGTAGAGGTGCACGAGGCGTGGCGATCGAGGCGGCGTAAGGTCCTCCACGGGCACGTCCTTGATCTTCGTGTTGTAGCGCTGCGGCACCGCCAGGCGCTCCTCCTTCAGCTCGGCCTCCACCTTCACCTTGGTGTTCTTCTTGGCCTTGCGCCTCGCCATGTACCGCTGAACGCGCCAAAAGGTTAGAGCGTTCTGCTGCTCGATCTCGTCCTGCTCGTAGGTCGTCTTGTAGTCCATGCCGTGGAAGTCCAGCTTCAGCGGATTCTGCAGGTCGATGACCTCGCATATGTGCGTATCCGAGGTCTCCGACCCAGTGCTGGCACAGAGGTTGTCCCCGTGCTTGACCAGCTTGCTGATCAGGCTGAACTCCTGCTCCTTCGTCAGCGGCGTGTGCCGCAGCGCCACCGGATTGACGAGGCAGTGCGACTTGCGCGGATCCTGGGTGAGGAAGAACTTCTGGCGGGCGGGCGTCAGCTTGGCCAGCTGCTCGTAGTTCTTCGGACATCGCCCGATGCGGGGACGCGGGGCACCGGCCACAAAGCTGGCCGGGCACGGGCGCCTCCACTCCTCGCCCTGGAAGTTGGGGGGACGCGTGGAGGGCGCGTGCATGGAGTCCACCAGCTCCTCCGAATCGGGCTCACCCGCGGACTCCTCCCAGTACCGATCGCCGCTCGGCCTGTAGTCGGTCTGCGGACTCGGCACCACACTGGACGAGGAGCATGGTTCCTTGCGGATCTTGACCGTCTCCACGCCGTCCCTGAAGTGCGAGTTGCTAGAGCTGGCGAAGTCGCGTCCCTTGCCACGGATCACGCTCTTACCGCAGTCATCGCGTTTATGGAGCTCGGTGCGCTTGATGTTGACGTCTGGGAACTCCAGGTTCTGCACCGTCAGCATGTGGTTCGAGTCGCGCTGCCCGAAGAAATCGATGTTCCGAAACTTCTCAATGGTCCTCTCGTCCCTGGTCTTCCTTTCCGGATGCTTTCGCGGCGGGCATTGGCGCTTGCCTGTGCTTTTTTGAACTTTCTGCCAGGGTGGGTCGGTGCTCCCCGGTTTTTCGGAGGAAACCGAATGTATCGTCGTTTCATTGGTTTTGTTTCGAGCGTGCATTTTTAATGTCCTCCCCACCGACTCCATCCTATAGTTCTTAGATCGCAGATCAGTGTTTGGCATCGACATCACTAAGTTTGGCTGCGTTTCCAATATCCAATCAAAAAATATATAGCTGTAATTATGGGGAGCTACAGATAGACAGAGCTGAAGGATTTTATGAAGCACCGGCTTGTTTTAAGTCTATTTCTGAACTGGATTTGTATAATGAAATTTACTGCAGTACCTCCCCAGTAGTAATAATTTTCCCTTTATACTACAAATATCCAGAAAAGAAAGTAGTATAGTAACCTGTGAAGTATAATAGTAACATCAATAATTACTCATAACAAAATTTGCTAAGAAAACGATGTATATTTATTTATAAGCAAGAACAATATTTTCTTTCTTTCCTTTAAGCTCTACCGTGTCAACACAATTTGAATTTATTTATAAGTAAATATGATATGGTACAGTTTAATCCGTTCTTTGGTAAGATTATTCCGTTTCCGGGGCTAAATATTTTCTATATATTTTTTGTTAATATTCTTGAATTGAAGAACTAGCTACATTTAATTTAATTATTTTTAAACCTAAACAAGATCTGAAGTTAAAGCTGAAATGGCCTAAAAAGTAAAGGATTTCTGTTAATATTCTTGAATTGAAGAACTAGCTACATTTAATTTAATTATTTTTAGTAAATTCTATACTGTCAAAATGTCAAATACTTCCGACTCGAGTAATGGGTCCGGCCATTAAACCCTTAAAAAACAGCATTCCATTAAATTGGGCACACGCCAACAATTTCAAATAAGAATATTTGTAAAAGAATATGTATTTTGCATACAATAAAACGTACCTTTCAGATTGTTGATTGATCATTTCATTGATCCCAAAAAAACTCATACTAACACGGCTATTTTTCGCCATTTCGTATTTACTTAGGTTTCCCCCTGAATATCGATTTCTGATCAACATTACAAATACCACAAGATCGGTTTTTTACATTTCAAAACAAAAAACCGATAATTCAATAAAATCCAATTCGTTTTTGATGAAACGTCCTTAATTGTTTCTGGCAAAAGGATAAATTAATATCCACTACAATCGCAATCCTTCAGATTCAAATACACACTGAATCATTCATAAAAAAGCTATCATGCGTGGTGAAACTGTTCAAAATGGGAACAAGACATATGGTGCCAAGCCTGATGTGCGTTTAAACCCATTAAACCGAAACTGAAAATCGTTCAGACTTTAGCCACTCTGGTGTATGCGAAGAGTGGATAGTCTGTGTGCATATGTTTGCAGTTGTCCAAAACGTTTTTCCATCAACTTTGGCGGTTATTCAATTAAAAATTACTTTATTTGTAATTAAATCGAATCACCAGCTTTGTACCGCCATCTGCTCTCGCCACCTTCACTCACTTTTGCACAGTTCTTTCTCTGTTGTGGGCACCCATGATGGTTTTGTTTGTGTTGTGTTATACCTCCCACGCCACATCAAGGCACCTTTAGTGGAACGTATTTCTTGGAAAACACAAAAACTTATTTATTCGTTAAAGCCAAATTTAAAATGTTGCGCCTTTTTCTACGGTGGTTTAAAATTTATATAACTGGAATTATAAACTGTTTCTATACCCTTATACTTATTACAAAACGACTACATATCGTTTTCTGTGCCAATATTACTAAAAACATTAAAGCTATGTCGATTTTGAGATACATTTTGCCATTGTTTCTATGGCAGCTATATAATATTGTTGTCCGAATTTGACAAAACTTAAAGCGATGAAAAAAAAATGTATTATGCTGTTTTCTATTTATTAAAATTGGTCCTTTGAGATATAGTAATTATTTACTATATCAGAATTATATCAGAATTATAGGGTCGGTAATGTTTCCGTCCCTGCGTTGCAAACTTTTGACTTAAATTATAATACCCTCTGCAAGGGTATAAACAGCATACACCATGAATTTACTTTTAAGGGGCGGGAGAACAAAATATAAATAGAATAGGTTGTTAAATATTTAGAGTTATTTAAAGAGTTTCTTTGTCAGTGTTAAAAATGTGTAATATTATATAATATTTTGTTTTATTTTTCCATTCCAAAGTATTGATTTGTTTAAGTTTTTGCACTATTTAATAAAACACACTCCATTTAACAGTTGTACATATAAAAATATTTAATATTATTTTTTTTTATTTATGCATGCTAGGTCAAAAAATAAAATTGATTTTCCTTTGTCCTTTTAAAGCACCATAAATATTAAATATTTTTTAATATTTTGATGGTCGGCAATCTGACGTGCTTTGAACCCACAAACTCGCTTGGGTTGAATTTTAAAATGCCATTTCCTAGCATTTTGTTATTGTTGTTATTTCGCCTGCTCCTTTTTCACGTTTGTCAGAGTCTAGGCACCAATCTAAGGGGCTGGTACACAAATCACGGCAAAATATTTATGACACTATTTACCGGAATGAAGGTAGCGAGCGGGGGAGACAACAGCAGACAACATCTGGCATTGGCCATCAAAAATGCAGAGACAACCAAAATAAGAGGTTCCCGTTTATGGAAACTTAGGCCCCAACCCCAATTACAATCTGGGCACCACGTGCACTCTACTTAAATAGCAATTTCAATATATTGAAATTTACTTTGTCACATGAAAGCTAAACAGTTTGCACTCAGCATCCTGGGATGGTATTGACTCTAGCACCATCCTGTCTCCCAAACTCGACTAGACTCCCTCGTGGAGCTACCGAAATGCCTTCTCCTCATGTCTTGGGGGTTTAAAACTGTATTGTATTTTATAATATTTTTATTTTAGTGCACCGCATAATTTATATATAATCAAACTTTTTTTAAACACGATTAAAATAAATAACTATTTTATTAAGTTGCGATGGTCGCAAGCGGGACAAATTGACCAAACATATTTCGTTTTTGTAAGTAATAGCAGATATACTGGTATAATTGAATTCCTTAAAAAATCAGTCGGCTATAATAATAGATACACTTAGATACAGATTTACCTTACTTTCTTATTCATTTACCTTTTTTTATGACACCAATTAAAATATTAAAGCCATACCAATAAAAAAACAGAAACATTTTTTACATATGCTCGTTTTCAAAAAGAAACAGCTTTTTATTATTAGAAGTACTTACCAAAAAATAAAAAAAAATTTTCTTGAAGTTTACACTTTGTATTCATCTCGGTTCTTAAATTACCAAAATATGGCATTTATTCGAGCCAATCGCGGGTATAACATTAAATTATATGAATTATATTTCTTAAAACAACACCTTTTATTTTCTTTAACGTTTTTTTAATATTTTGACCTTTTTATATTTTCCGTTAGCTTCAGATTTCTTATTTATTAACCAATGAACGTCGATTTATCATAAACAACCTACCTGAGTCCATTACTATATATTATAACTCTAAAAGTAGAATGACTACATTTTAAAACATTGTCTCCTTAAAATTTCTCCTTTTTAGGTAATGTTTCGAAAAAAAATGTATTGTTTCGTTCTTGGTTTAGTCTTTCGTGCATGGAGTATTGGTGTATAATGAATGAATGGCAAAACTTTTTTTAGCATTTCATTAAATTAATGAATTTGCAGAACATTGTAGTGCATTGTAATGAAATAACAAAAAAATGTTTCACTACGGTTATAACGAGCAATTTGTTTGCCTTTCCTTTGGCCACGCACTCCCCCAAAATAAACATCCCATCGACCAAAGAAGTAAGTTTAAAATTATTTACATTGGTCGAATGTTAAATGCTCTTCGCCTATGTACTTTAGTTACATACATAGAAAGCTAATCCCTTGTCAATCAGAACATTTTAATACACACTAGGTACTTACTTTTTCGTTTTTTTTATTTTCAAAGGTTCTTGTTCGCCCATAGTGTCTTGGGGTGACAAATTATTCATATTTTTCAGATTGTGGGTACAACATGAGAGAAAAAGAAAATTCCTGTTTATAATTAAATTTGTACGGAAATGCAACCGTATTAAACGGAAACGTTGGACAGTTAAAATGCAGGCAACATGACGCTCATGACCCTTGCAGCCCATCGTCATCATCATCGCCAAACCATCATTCTCTTAACATCCGCATCTTTGTGGTCCATGACATATTGTTTTTGAGCGCTCGATAAAATTTCTGTTGAATTTAATATACGGAGGGTGAAGCGATATTTACTTTTCTTAAATTTTGAGCGCATTTATTCATGAAATCATCAACATTTCTCAACCCAAATTAAGTTAATACATTTTTTTTGGTTAAAAGAATATTTAAATCTGGACTACACTTTAATTTGATTTAAATAAATAACACGATTTGGAAAGGTCCCAGAATCTATTTTTTAACCTGCGGGAAATATCGGCATACAACAGTCTGTATGACAGATATCTGGTAGCTATGGGATATAGTCAACCGGTTTTGAAAAAATTTCAAGGAATAGGTATAAAACATTTAAAATTTGAAAAAAAAGCGAAATTAAATATTTTGATCTCATTGTTCCTATGGCAGCTATAGGATATATAACGTATATATAAAAATATCCGATTGCATTTAAAAACTCTAGCGTTAAAAATGAACTCGCAAACGGTATAAAAACAGATGGAAATGGCTTTATCAACTCGTCTAGTAAAGCTGATCAAGAATATACGTACATATATACTTTATAGGGTCGGTAATGTCTCCTCCATTGCGTTACAAGCTTCTGACCAATTGTATAATGCTCTCTGCAAAGTCATAAAAAGGGGCGTTTACGGTTTTTTTCCAGCTAAATTTTGATGAGCATTAAAGGCTTGTCTCTATAAATTTGAAGTAATCGATCCTACAATAATAGGATAATTTAGAAATATGCTTATTTATACCTTAAAATATAGAATTAAGTGATTATTTACATTTCCTGCAACTCCTAACTTTGCAGTTTTTTAATGAAAACTGGAGCGATCTATAACCTTAGGTCTTTCAGTCAACAAGGGAAGAGTGGATGAAAGACAGCAAACACGGAAACAAACGGCTCCAACAGCTCTGAAGTTGTCACCTGTGTTGTTGTGGCAACACCTTTATTAGCTTTCAGGCCTTCGGCTTCCCTTTTTGTAAGCTGAGAACTCGAGATTTTCAAATGAAATTAACTGTCTTTCATTTCAGGGGAACATGTATAGCATTCGTTTCGATACACTCCGCTACAATGTGGACTTTTTCAATTTGGATGCAAAAATGTACTTTTCTTGTTACATTTCTCTTATTTTTCTTTAAGTAACTTAAAACCTTCGACGGTAGCAGAGTTTACATGGCCCAAATATGCGTATGGCAAGGGGATGCCAGAACAGAAACCAATTGAGCTGAAGCTTGGAGGGACATTCAGAGCGATGGCAACCAACTCTGGTCCTTGATGAACCCATTTTCCTTAGTATTAAATTTCACAGGCTTGTTTCCAGAATTACAATTTTTGGGAGGAAAGACAGTGACAGGACTTCCTTTAGGAAGTATTTACCTGAAGATGCACCGGCCCACTTGTTTTCCTTTTATAATGCCTACTAACTTTCACTCTCCATTTCATAACTGTGTGTCTCAACAATCTGATGGTATTTGCGCTATGATGGATTGGTTCAATAAACAACAAATCTTATTCTTCTTTCAAAACGAACTAGAAGAAACGCTGTAGTCAAGTGCCTCAACTATCAAATACCAGTTACTCAGTTAACCAATTTCATAATAAATATAGCCCTAGCAGATGGCACCATTTGCAATTCTTTTGGCACGACAAACAGAAAAGATGCTGCGCCATTTGGTGGTAAGAAATATTTATCTTCTAGCGCTGACCTCATTGTTAAACTACTTATTTTACTTCTAAAACAAAAATTATTTTTAAAATTTCTAATCACGCTGATTTTGATACTCTGGTGACAGCTGTATGTTTGTTGAATATTTTAATATTTCATTGGAACTACCAAAAATACATACAAATTAAAGAATTATTTTCCGAGACTTATTTGAACTAACATTTGATATAAAAAGCATACCAATTTGTCTTTTATTAGTATATATTATTATTATATGTAACAATACATGTGTTTTTAGTTTTAAAAATGACTGTTGAGAAAGTAAGTGCTTTATATCTTATCTTATTATTTTAAAGTTGTTCAATACAATGTTTTGTCATTTTTTTCCCTCCCACAGTAGGTCAATAAATGCATACGGTTGGTTAAATTTTAAGCAAATATTTGTAGAATAATAAAATTAAAAGCTACAGCTTTTTTCAAAACCAGAACCTGAAATAAATTCAATTTTGGGTATTGCGTCGCCTCGAGCTCAGAAAAATAAACTTCGAAATATACTGAGCAACAGAAAATACCATAAATTAATATTCTTGTAAAAATGTGCAAATATTTTACGTACGCATGTTGTTTCCTTTTCTTTTCCCACATTTCCCGAACTGGGAAGAGGAAAAGCGGAAATGTGTGGGATGTCGATATCCCTCTTTCCACGCTTTACGGTCAGTGAATTTTGTAAAGTTTTTTCCTTCGTGATTTTTTTTCTTTTTTTCGGCCGTTATTTATGAATTGTTTGCGCTTGCCGTTGAATTTATTAAATGCCACCGTCTGCCACTCGGACAATGTTTTTGGTGAAACCACCATAGCATACTTTTCTGGGGCTAGTGACATATCTGCGGGCGAGCAATTCATATGGATGCGAGCTGGAAAGTGTGTGGGACGGACGGAATGGGAAAATCGCCACGAGGTTATTTACATGCATTTTTGCTATAAGTTAATGTGCCTGCAGGTCATTGAAGCACCTAAAATATGATTGTGTACCATAGAGTATCAGCATGCTTGTGGTCTCTGACATGGGCATATTTTATGTAAATTTAAAAAACATTTACTCGTTTGTCAGTGCCCGTTAACAGATTAAAAATGCATAGAATTTTACATAGACAGTCTACTATACAATAAATATTCAAAAATAACAGAAAATAATTAAGGAAATACCCCTTTGCTTGTTATACCCGTTACTCGTAGAGTAAAAGGGTATATTGTATTCGTGCAAAAGTATGTAACAGCTAGAAGGAAGCGTTTCCGACCCTATAAAGTATATATATTCTTGATCAGGGTCACTAGCCGAGTCGATATAGCCATGTCCGTCTGTCTGTCCGTCCGTATGAACGCTGAGATCTCGGAAACTATAAAAGCTAGAAGATTGGCATTTTGCATGCAGATTCTAGGAGTTCCTACGCAGCGCAAGTTTGTTTCAAAAAGGTGCCACGCCCCCTTTAACGCCCACAATCGCTTATATACGATTTTAAAAATTTAAATATTTCGGAAAAGTAAAAATGCAGTTTTATTGTGTTTATCAATACCTATCGAAATGTAGGAGAAATTTTTCAAATCGGACCATTCGTTAAAAAGTTATGCGTGATCAAAGTTTCTATCTCCATCTCCCTCGCACACCCTTTACCTGAGTAACGGGTATCTGATAGTCGGGGCACCCGACTATAGCGTTCTCTCTTGTTTTTTAAATGGTGTCGACCAAATACTAACTAATCTATTTTTTTCATTCCACCTCAAAAATATTGGTTGTTAAATGTGCGAAGGGTATTAAAATTGCAGTCAAAAGTTTTCAACGCAGTGAAGGAGACATTTCCGACCCTATTATATTCTATATTCTATATAAGTTTCATGGCACACTGCCTACCAAAAACCTACCATTTGATGAAGGAGGCTTTAGAGACTATGATTTCGAATAAAATTAATTTTTAATTGGGTACTAAATATATTTACATTCGTATATTTGTTGATAGTAACGATATTTGGTTACTATGATGTTTTCCGTAAAACAAGTATTTTTCATTTCATTTGCAATCATGATTTTACGTACCCCTCTAACAATTTTTGCATATTTTTGAGAACAAGCCAATCAAAACATTCGACTGACTAGTATGTTATTTTAAAGAGCCGAAAGAGGTTTTAGACCAGTATTTCCATCGCCAATATTGCTTTATTAATACATTAGTGAATTCATTGAACCGATACAAATCGACACAACCTAACAGGAAGACTCCGAAAAAACCTTTTTAGATATAACTACATATTTTCATTACGTGTCATAATCTTTCAAAAATTAATCTTCCAAAATTTCTCGTTTCTGCAACATGTTGTAATTTTAATAATTCTTATTTTTTAACGACATTTCCGCAGTTATTAACAGCATTGGCGACATTGGTAGATCGCACTTGTGGTACCATTTTTAATGGCGACAGCGCCAAAAAGGAAAAACGACCAAGGCGGAGGTAAATCACCTTCAAGGCAGGCATTGCTACTCCACCTCAACTAACCCTCCATCCGTTCCCCAAGTCATTGGTGCTAGTTCATCGCAGGACCTCGTCACCGACCAGAACTCGGGTCGCCGCCAGGAGCAGAAGGTCTACACCTTTAATGACCGCCCTCCGCCGCCAAAGCCACCAGGAGCACCAGGACTTCCTGCCAAGCCGGATGACAAGACCAAGCCACAGAAGACCATCCTTGAAGAGCATGGTATTATTTTGGGTAAGGTGATTGGCACAGGCAACTATGCCAAGGTCAAGATCGGCTTTTCGGAGGAGTACGGTAAACGGGTTGCCGTCAAAATCATATCCAAGGTGAAGGCTCCCACCGAATACACCCAGAAGTTCCTGCCGCGGGAGATAGAGGCAGTGAAGGGCTTGCACCACGACAACTTGATTACCTTCTATCAGAGCATCGAGACCAGTCATAGGTGAGACAGTACCTCAATCCTCCTCAGCTGGCAGTTTTTAGAAATGGCAGTACTCTAGAAATTAAAACAATATTCTGGCAATGCTTTTTTTTCGTATTGATAGAAGCTTTTTTGCACCATCTAACTTTTTTACATGTTGCACATGTCGGTGTATGATAAAAGGGTCTCCATCCCTATATAAGAAATTAAAATTAAAGTTTAGTCCAATAAAAAATAATCAAATATAAAAACAAAGAATTCATCATTAAACAAGAGAAATACAATGTGTAGTAATATATTACAAGAGGCATATTTACTGATCACGTGACACCTTTTAAATTGAATTTCCTAATAACATCTGATTTCGGAGTGTCGATAGAAATGGACCGAACAAATCTAATCAATTCGATTTGCTTGTGATAGACTTTTGTTTTTTCATAACATTTGTTACGGATCAGCGAATCTCTGATCTATTATTTACTAAAGCAGCATTCTATGCCAATACACTATATTCTTTTTGTCGATTGATTTTCCTGATTAGACAATTTAATTCATGTGCGCATGTGACTTTACCTATTTGCATTAAATTAGCTTAGCTAACCCGTTGTTAGAAACCTATGTTAGGAAAGCCTTTAGAGGTATAGCGAGTATTTTATGATTGGTTCTTGTCAGTATACCTGCGTCGTTAACTAATCCTTGATGCTAAACCCCGAATCCATGTCGCAGAGTATACCTGATAATGCAACTGGCCGAGAATGGAACGCTTTTAGACTATGTGCGTGAGCGGAAGTTCCTGGATGAGCCGCAGTCGCGGACTCTTTTCAAGCAGCTGGTGAGTGCGGTGGAGTACATCCACAGCAAAGGAGTGGTGCACCGGGACATTAAGTGCGAGAACCTGCTGTTGGATGAGAACTGGAACCTTAAGTTGATCGACTTTGGGTTCGCGCGCAAGGATACGCGGACTCCCGATAACCAAGTGATCCTCTCGAAAACCTTTTGCGGCAGCTACGCCTACGCCAGCCCAGAGATTTTAAAGGGCAAGTCCTCATCCCTAACCCTTTCATGCATTAACATCAACATTACCTAAACACTAATTCCAGGTGTGGCCTACGACCCGTTCATGTCGGACATCTGGGCCTGCGGCGTCGTCTGCTACGCGATGGTCTTCGGTCGTCTTCCCTACGATGGCTCCAATGTGCACATCCTGCTCAAGCGCATCAACCAATCGCTGGTGTTCCCAAAATCCCCGTCCGCATCCAGCGAGTGCAAGCACATGATAATGCACATTCTGGCGCCCGTGAAGATCCGGTACAATATTCCGCAGGTCAAGGAGGACCCCTGGTATTCGCTTAAGTAAACATGTTTGATGCTCCACAAGAATGCAAAATTATAAAAAAAAATTAATACTGATTTTGATTTTTGCATTTTTTTTATTTCAGTCAAAAGCCTCCCAAATTGATATAGCCATGTCCGTCTGTCAGTTTACAAGTTATCTAGACGAAACTTTCCTAAAAGTCTTATTTCTATTACAGGTATTATATATATAAATATAAGTCCGAAAGTCAAACGACTATATGTTATAGCTGCAATAAAAACAATCGGAAAAATATTTTTAAAAAAATTCGGTAAAGAAAGAAGCAGCATGCCGAAGACAATGGGATAATTGGTACCCCTTTGGAAAATGTATGTTTGTGTACAACAATTACGTTGATTATACACAGTATCCTTGCACATCCTGTCCGAAGCACTGGTGGCAGCTCAAATCGGGGCTTGCCCTTCGCAATTCTGCATGGCAATGTCAAAAGTGCTTGTGGCAGTTGCCACCACAGCGTTGCCTGCCAGCGGAAATGCCGTTGCAATGGACACATAGATGGGAGGACTCAAGGACCTTCCCCACTACCCACTTTCCCCATTGAGTTTTGTCACACGCAAAACAACAAAAAAAACAACTGAAATATGCGAAGCTGGCCAAAATTTGCGAGAGTCAACGAGGAGCAAACTGCCGGCGGAATCTGGACTATCCTGCGAGCCGTATGCCAGCTCCAAGCTGAGACCTCTGGACTCTGACCTCTGGCGTTGTGGTTTGGGCCACGTCAGTGCATATGGAACAAACAACATTAGAGGTGTGCGCCTGTCGAGTACTGTGATATCACAAAAGAGCATTTTCATTAAAAACGCCTAAGATTTTCTGCGATAAAATCTTTGGTCGGAAAACAATTCTGAAGACATTTTTTTTCAATTCTATTTTTACTCCACATATTCATTTTTGAGTTTTTCGAAGGTATGCTTTTATATTTATAAAAATTTTAAAATTTTCTCAGAGTATGCTAAAAAAAAGTAAGCAATTTAAATATGAATCCAAATCGGCCAACTTAGAAGATTACCTCATTTCCGAAAATCGAGAATTCGGAATTTCTGGGTTCACAGCAACAAAATAAACATAATTAAACGATAAGGTATCTTATACCAATCCGAAGTTAAATGAGTGCCAAATTGGAATATAGTAACCCCTGGTATTTTAATAAAACTTTGAATTTATCAAAGCAGTTCAAATAGTCTTTTTTAGTCTTTAGAAATTCCAACCATCGGAAGTAATGAGTATATATTCATTATTTGTATATTGCCTCTATTTAAACAGGCTTCCCCAAAAATCTCAACTATTTCCAAATGTACTATGCAAGAGAATATCCTTATGGTTAAAATAATGCAACTTCCATCCTTTAGTTAAACATAAAAATAGCTCTAGCCTTTTCAGTTATGGATCCGATTATGAGTTTGGATACTCCATTTAATTGCGGTGTATGTGAACTCGATCAATGATAAATTATGCCTTTTTCACAACAATAATCTTTAATTTCATTTTCAACGTTAAAGTTGAAATGAGCTTCCCTATTCACGATGAAATCTTTGAAGACATGAAATACTTCAGATATAAAAGGCATCAAATAGTTACTACACTAACGTGTACCTTTATCGACAAAGATATTCCATTATTACTACAAGGAGTTTTCTTTACTTTCTCATACGGAAGTCTAGCTTGCTTTCTCTTAATGCAAGCTTCGCATAATTCATTATTTAGTTAAATATTTTTTACAAGTTCTTAATCTTCTTAATCGTTGCAGTTCTCTGGTATAGAGCATTTGGTTTCGCTAAATTTTATTTGGTCAACCGAAAAACTTTGCAGAAAATGGGAATAATTTAGGCATTAGTTTTAAGGGTCTTATGTTTAGCCTCAAATGGAAAGGTTCATATATATTTAAATATGATTATGATTTTTTATGATTTTTAAATATGATTAATTTTCAAATTCAGGAAGATATTTTCAGTTTCCGAAACTCAATAAGCAAAATGAGTCTTTTGAATATTTTAGTATAATTTGACACACAGAAAATTATTCATCACATCGAAATGTTTAAGCTGATTGAATTTGCAATCTCTTTTATAGTTGTATTAATTTCTAAGGGATTCTTTTGTAGCTCTGTTAACTGGTTTTGTATTTGTATCTTTAATGTCGTATTTCGAGGATGTTTTAAATCTGACACTGATCAATTGCTTTTTAATTTGTATTGTTGTTTCTTTCCATTAAAGTGTCTTCGTTACTTAATTAGTTTATGGAAGATTGGTTTTCAGTACATCCAAATGAACTTTAAACGCAATTTGAAAAGGTGTAGGTTAAAAATAGACATGGATGTAGACGGTGATTTTTCTTGATATGCGACAGAAAGTGATCAATGTTTTATTAGTATTACTTTGTAGTTTTTAAAATTAAAGAATAATATACAAAAATTGATTTAATTTAAATTAGAAAAAAATTAAATAAAAAAAACGAAGAAACCTAATGGGAAATTCAAATTAATTACCCAATATTAAAATGAAAAAAAAATATATGAATGTAAAAAAGTGATGTTTTAAATTAAAATTACTTATTTAGCTGGCATATTTTTCAAAGTTTTTTGGAAATTTGTAAAAAATAATATTGTTGGATGAATGTCCTGCATTCATCTGGGTAATTCAAATTTAAAACTAAAAAGATTTGTAAGCACACTGATACTCCACTTAAAATATCAGGCAAAATGTTTTCCAATGCAAAAAATTAATGCTTGCAAAGTTTTGTTTTTTTTTTGTAGCATTCATCTGTTTTGGTTTTAAGATTCTTTGAGTTATCCAACGTTGCTTTTGTATATTATAAAGTTATCTCGGGAGTCTTGAATTGTAAATTTTACTTTTAAACTTCCCGAAGATACTCGTTTCCCTCTCCTGATGGGTACAAGAATAGCGTGAATAACGTGGAACAGCAATGCGTCGTTTTTATCTGTGGAAGTCACAAAGGAAAGTGTTTCCCCGAGAAAAGATTCCTACGAATGTGAAAGCATATTTGCATCACTTGTCATATCTGGACTCTTCAGCTTTGTCAATTTAAGCCTGTAATGGTGCGATAAAGAATTTTGGAACAGAAATTGTCTTTCACTTGTCGCGCTTTTACTTCGATCTTGTCTTTTTCACTATTTTTCTTCGGTCTCGTTACTTTTCCTGCCGTGCTTTTGCATAATGAACCAAGTCGATTTTTCTGTTGGGTCTCAACATCCAACTGAAATGGTCGTTCATATGTTGTAATGCGTGGTGACCACATGATACGCCCACCACCCATCTTCCCTGTTTCATTCTGTGTTTGGCTCTGTTTCTGATTTTGCTCTTGCACTGCTCGCCCCCTCGAGGTGCCTGACTATGTTAGACGTTGTTTGCCGATGAAAAATTCCTGAGATATACATACATATATACATATGTACATAATAAGTATAGCGAGGAAAAAGTTCTTACCAACTAATTATGCCTTTGCCTGCGTTACGATTACGCAGGATGCTTTCTTGTCATATCCAACGCTTATCGATTTTTTAAAGGACTGATTGACTTAGAAAAGCTTTACGATGCGAACACAGACTTCTTCCTCCTTAAGCTGACAGTATTGATGGAAATCGATATTATTTGGAGCAGTGGAAGCTCGCATATGTTTTTGTGATCCCTAAGAAAGGTGCTTCCTTCCCCCATGCCGAATTTTTTCCGACCGAAAAGCTTTCTTCCGACTTTTACCAAGATCATAGAGTAAGAATCTATACTCTATGACAGCTGCGTGCCGCGCTGATGGATAGATTCCGAAGAAATTTCTGCAGAGGGAGCAGCAGCCGGAAGAAGCCGTGCGATGCAGCAGTTAGCCTTTCGCTTAAAAAAAATACTGTCAGAGCGACAGATGGTGAAAATTATTAAAAGGGGCTTGAGAGAGCATCGCAAGATTCGTCTACGCAATGGATGTGCTTACAGTGGACGAATTGAGGGAAGAGTGCTGCGGGGTGCATCGCAATTTTGGAGGCCGCGAGGATGAGTTGCGTGCGAAGGTCAGGAATCCGTTCTGAGCGGGCTGTCGACTACGGGTTTTGTGACTGCGCGGCAACAGAACACAGTAGGTTCTGCTCCCGATGCGGAAGGCCAGACAAAGTTTCTCCGAAATGTCCGGATTGCGCGGAAAAGAGGACGATCTGAGGGCGAAAAAGATGCGTCCAGACAAGCGACCCGCGAAACTGAACAAACACCAGGTTCACTACATCGTGACCCAAAAAGTGTGTCTCGTGGTCCCCCTGGCCATCTAAAAGTTCCGGCCGTCGTTTAAGCCTATTCACGCCATTCACGTGCATCACGGGCCATGCCAGTCTGAAGTTGTTAATGTCTATAAAGGACCTCTCAGGTCGGTTGGTAAGGTGGTTCAGGGCTCCAGAGATTCCACTTCAACATCGAGCACAGGGAAGGAAGCGAGAACGTCGTAGCCGACACCCTATCGCGATGTGTGGAGGAACTAGCAGTGGATCCGACAGAGATTCGAGACCACCGAGTTTGCTGGAAAAATTACTTGGAGTTGGTACAAGAATCGAGGATATGCTCATTTTCAAGCGGGTCTCTTCGGCAAATCTGGACGACGAGATGAAAGGGTGCGAGTGTAAGTTGTGGATTCCCCATATTCTGACCCACAGCATAATTGAGCATGCCCACACGGATCCAACAGTAGCCAACAGCAGCCAGGGGTTATATTGCCGAAATCCCTGAGTGGCCTATGTCGTTCACGTAGGGAACCTGTAATTAGATTTTAAGTAACTGTATACATACATTCAATCCTTTTTACACATTCTCGCGATTTTGCGCGCTTGAGTCCGGGTTTGCGCAACTCAGGGTCTGAAATTCTTTGTTTTTACTTACCCGTCCATTTAAGTCGCTTCAAGCGCAAACTTAATAATTCCCCGAGGTCAAATTTCCTGACTTTAACAAGGCCTTGTAGCTGCCGCACTTGGGTAGCTGTTTTGCCTGGTATGCAAATAATTGTTTTAATAATGTTCATAAAAATCTATTAAATGTATTGAGCTGCGAATGATGTTGGCCTAGGGCACTTACCTATGGGGAGATGAACCCGTCGTATTCCGGCCTGGCAGGGACTACGGCCATTGAACATGGGCTGTGTCCCATAAAACCCACAGGGGCACCATAGGATGGGTGGGTGCGCGGTGGCAAGTCCATCTATAGGCCACCTTTTGTAATTTCGTCCAATATTTACCTTTTTTCTATTTGTTTACCTCTTGTCGTTGGAGATGGTCCAGTTGAAAGTAGTATGGGAGTCGTCGATTTGTATCGATTCTAGTGTTGGGAAGTGTTTGGACATTGGGGGTACTTTTCCCTGAGCATCAAGTTAACCTGTGCTGTCCCCAAGAAAAAATAGTGCATTTCTATAACAAAGTATTAAACTAATAATAAATATTGTCATCCCTTTAATACGTATTTCTGGAATGCTGCTGAGTGAAAAATTCTTTGCTTGCTTAAGCCTAGTATCCAGATCGACAAACGATTACGTAAAAACTAGCGTAAAAACTTTAATCTTTCCAGTGTGACCAAAATTTTGAGAGTTCATCAGATTTAAGCGTGCTACGGTCGTACTGTCAATCAGCTGGGTTTGTTGACAAGCAGTTAAAGCCTAGTATCCAGATCGACGAAAACCGTACGCCAGTCATGAGAGAGAGCGAGAGGCAAATAGCTGGCGTTCACTTTTCGTCGGGCCTTTTTTTCACGTCGGTCTCCTGATCGACAAAAAAAAATACCAGAAAATTCCATAGCGTTGCCAGTCAGCGGAAATGAAACTTTGGGTGAACCCTAGCGAAAAGATTAAAAAATTTAATCTTTTGACGTGCGCTTCTCACTGAACATTATAAGAAATGGAGGGAAAACTCACAATCAAATACCTTGGCAAGACAAGTCTCCCGCTGTACAAATAAATTAAAAAACAATACAATTTAAATTTAACAGTTGTTTTTTTTAATTTACTGATAATTATTTGCTAATTTAAAGTTCATAGCTGCACTTTTATTGTGTTTTTTCGTACATTCTGGACCTAAAAAACATTTTGCTCTGACAAGAGGCACCCCAGATAGTATTAATGTTATTTTGTCCTCACATGTTAACACCTGCAATCGACTTTTGTGAGATTTTTGAGCTTTTCCCTCCATTTCGTATAATGTTCAGTGAGAAGCGCACGCTAAAAGATTAAATTTTTTAATATTTTCGCTAGGGTTCACCCAAAGTTCATTTCCGCAGACTGGCAACGCTATGGAATTTTCTGGTATTTTTTTCGTCGATCAGGGGACCGACGTGAAAAAAAGGCCCGACGAAAAGTGAACGCCAGCTGTTTGGATCTGGATACTAGTCTTTATTTTGGAGTTAGTGCGTCACATAGCCGCCAATAAAATGTGGTACGATTTTGGAAAGCAAATATTATCAGGATTGGCGCAGTTGCTCCGTATAAAGAAATATATATTAAAAAGTAGGTGGGAGCTCAGATCGACAAACGAGTTCGCTAGCGGAAAAACTTTAATATTTCGAGTGTGACTGCATTTTCGAGAGTTCATCAGAATTAAGCGTGCTACGGTCGTACTATCAATCAGCGGGGTTTGTTGACAAGTAGATACAATTCAAATATCGTATTTACGGGAAAGAGCCTTTAAAAGATATAATCATTAGGTACATTTTTGACCTAAGAAACATTTTGTTCTGACAAGAGTCACCCCAGATAGTATTAATGTTATTTTGTCCTCATATGTAAACTCCTGCAATCTTTTTTTTTTAAATGTTTATTTTCTGGTATTTTTTTGTCGATCTGAGGACCGAGGTGAAAAAAACCCTTGACAAAAAGTGTACGCCAGTTGTTTGACAGTTTTCGTCGATCTGAGTATTAGGCTTTAACATGTTTAAATCTAAGCTGGCTTTTGAATTTAGCGGGAAAATATGATTTTTTAGGAAATTTTAATTGTTGGTTGACCGAATTCGGGCTCAATGCTTTTTCACAATCTGGTAACACTGACAAGCAGCACACATTAGTTTATGCGATAGTCTGAGTGAACGGGTAGAAAAATCACAGCTATTATTTCAGCAGTGCCAATTGTCAGTGGAGTGAACAAATCGAAAAATTGTAGACAGGCTTACGCAGATCGACATTCATTATGTTTGCCAGCAAATTGTTGACCTGCTCGGCATTGCTAATGCTAAGTGGCGCAGGTGAGTGGACAAATGACATACTACGCGAACCCTTTACTTCCATCGAAAAAACTGCGTCGCGCGGAGGCCTTTGTTCAATATGCCATTTCATCGCAAATTATTTATATTTGTCGTCATTCGCCGTCTCGCTCGCACTCACGAAACAGCTGGGACAGTCTGTAGTATTTTATCTACGGAAAACGTACAAAAAACAGGGAATGAAAGTACAAGCCAGTAACAGCGTTTGGGGTTTGTGAACAAAGAGCAACAATCATCCGCCAACACTGCAATTACTCAGTTTTAGCAAAGTTTTTGGACGTCCGTTACTCTCTGTTCTAACAAAATGGTGTGACTTACCGTTGCAGCACCCACATCCCTCTTACCTCCCCGGCACCCTCATCTGGCATCGAGCACAGCTGGCGCTGGTACTACCTGCATGCCGAAAATCGCAGCAAGATAAAGCCGTCCGCCCCTTTATGCAGGCGTATTCTATTTATCATCGGTGCCTTCGTCTCCCTTTATCAGACATGTAATTACACTTGATTCTCAGCACAGTCTAAATAGTTATTTATTTGCCCAACTCGGTTGGCTATTGTTCTCTGCTTATCGCCCTCGTTTAGGGCAATTCCCGATGGTACTCGCACTACTCCCCCTTTAGTTGATGTCATTTGCAGTATCCGATTTCTTGCGGTCTGAGCTTTTCAGCTATTTTTCAACCGCTAATCTTCATATGTCGGGAGGTATTTGCATTTGATTTCACAACTACTACCATTCGGCATGAGGCACACATTAGGTTATGCGATAGTCTCGCTTATAGCACTAGAATGTTATTCTAGTTCATTGTACTGAATAAGGCAGAAACCGGAGAACAAAGAATTATTGACCAGCAAAACAATTGTTTCAATTACTAAATTGAATAGTTGACACATCTTGAGCATCAGAATATTAAAGCTATCGATTTCTTATATATTGCTTACAAATACAATTATACGGAGTCATGGAAGATCTCTGATTAGGCTAAGTTTGTTTGGCCCTTTTTTATAAATATTACAAAAATACAGTAATAATAAAATATAAAATATACAATTACAAAAATACAGTAATAATAAAATATAAAATATACAATTACAAAAATACAGTAATAATAAAATATAAAATATACAATTACAAAAATTGAGTAATAATAAAATATAAAATTACAATAACAATGGCGCAGCACATTTATTTGTATTTTAATCATTTTAGAACCCATCAAGTATATTTTATTGCACGCAAATTAAGTATTTGTTTTCGAACACTTTTCCTACGTGGTTGAGGCACATTTATCTTATCACAAATTATTTATATTCCCATAATTGTTCCTCCTCTGGTAAAAATTGTATTACATGTCTAAGGCGGGACACGCCTCTTGTCCGTGGACTTCCTATCCTCAGTATGTTTGCTTGCTGAACTTGCATTTAAAGGTCATCTCTCTGGAATGCATTACCGAACGGAACTAAACTAGAACGGGTGGGGTTGGTGAGACGTGAACACACATTGATAGCAGAGTTAAAAGCGGATGCCATGCTCAACAAAAAATATTAAAAAAGAAAACAGCTTTGGCAACAATTATTCAATTAGTGTATGAATCACCAACGCCGATTGTGTGAAAACAACAAGTAGTTTTTACTTTGTCTTATTGTTTTGAAACGCAAGCGAAATACGAAGAGTGCAAAAAGGGGATTAAAAGCTCGATAAAACTGCTGGCATGTTTTGTCTGGACATTGATTTTCTTTGTAGGCTTTATCATCGGCCTAACAACCAGACATTACGTTCATATCATATTAACTCGCATAATCGCTTTATTTCTGTCATAATATGTTGACATCTGTAACTAGTTGTGCCCCACATTTCTTTTAATTCATTCCTTATCACTCGGTGAAAACGAAAATTAATTATTCATCGAGTGTAAAATGACTCATATTCGTGAAACGGAAACAAAGGCGTGGTAATCTTAGCTAAGCAGTATATTCACACCGCATTTGATAGATACAAAATTAAACTGAAAATATTTACGATAAAGAAAAAATTTAAATAAATTTAAATTTTATTCTATATTTCGAAACTAATTTTCCTTTCAGTGCTCTCTCAAAAGTTTATTAGTTTGGCTGATGCCGAATTCAAGATTCCTGATACGTCTTCGGAACATCCAAGCCAGGAAACCAGCAGCACATCTACATCTACATCAACGACTTCGACAACTACAAAGAAGCCAACCACATCCAGTTCAACTTCGACGGTCACGCCACTTACATCCTCCACAACCTCTACTGAGTCACCAAAGACGACGACCACACCAGCACCAGTGACAACCACGACTAAAGCTCCTCCGGCGCCCTCCGTAGGCACTTGGAATGCCTCCTGCATTGTGCTCCAAATGGCAGCTGAAGTGAACTTCACCTATGAGGCTAAGGGTAAGAAAATTAACTAAAAACTATTTTTTGAACGAAAAACAAGAGAATAAAACACTTAATGAATAATTAAATTTAAAGATCAAATGGCCTATTTTAACACCAAATAGATAAAATAAATTACAATTTTATTCTATACTATAAGCATCAGCCATTTCATTTAAGTGGCATTTATTTTAAAAATAATTGGTTTAATTTAAATATTTATATTTTAAACATTTTAAAAATGTTGTTTATTTATTTATTTGAGTAAAGAGGACTGTTTTTTAATTTTTTTTAGATGGAAATTTCACACACGGTCTATATAACATTCCTAGCACCGCATCGATTGAAGATTCGGACTGTACAAGTCAGACTATCCAGTTTATTCATCTGAACTGGGGACCCGAAACTTCCAAGCAATCGTTTTTGATGTATTTCGATAAAAAGAACGACACCACCGAGCTCTCCTCCATTCAAATCCATCTAAATGTGCTGACCGAAGACTTTCCTAATGCCAAGGGTATGGAGATTTTAAATATTTTTTAGCAATGAAAGTTATAGATATTTGGATTTTACAGAAAACCAAACGATTCAACTGATTCATAGGGGTGCTGGAGAGTTCAAGACGCCCGACAAGATGTCCTACCACTGCACACGCGTTCAGAAGATGAACCTGACCGAGACTCTGGATGCTAAGCAGTTGATCGGATCGATCAGCGTCCGCGATGTCCAGGTGGAGGCGTTCCTAGCTGCTAACGCCACTGGGTTCTCAGTCGTACATGATTGCGACAGCTCCGAAACGTCCGACGTGGTGCCCATTGCCGTTGGTATTGCCCTAGCCGCGTTGATATTGGTCGTGCTGATCTCGTATTTGTGTGCAAGGCGTCGTTCCACCTCTCGCGGGTACATGAGCTTCTAAGCGCTGTGCATCAACTTATTTAGGGCAGGTAGGGAATGGAATCGAAGGAGAATGAAAAGCAAATCATTAGAGAGAAAATTAAGATTGAATTTGATGATTGGAAGCTGTCTGTGGGTATAAGCAACGATCCATTTTGTTTTGTACCTTTTGGCTTGTATAAGTTAAAGTGGTTTGTTTTGTTTAGGTCAACATAAAATACGTATTAACAAAAGAGAGGGAGAATTAAAAAATCAGGAATCGGAAGTATGATCTAAAACGCTGTTTTTGTGTATGTAATTGTCAAAAAATTTGTATCGTAAAATGAAAATAGTTAACTCATTCGGGTCTGCCGATTTGACACAAATTCTTGAAGAGAAGTTAAACCAAATTTTAAACATTCAATAAATAGAGGCACACATTTTACTCAATAAACCAATCAACTAATGTAACTAGCGTGTCATTCAAATGAGGTGAAACTGGGCGATCGCCTAAGCGATGTTCTAAACAATGATGATTAATTACCCAGACGATACCAACGGTCAAGTTTTTTATCCAAATGGTCAACATTTTAACTTTTCAAACATAATATCAGAACACAAAAATGTATGTATTACTGGCCTTAAAATCGCAATAAAGATAATATTTAAAACCCAACTCAATATAATTACTAAATGCAAATGCTAATGTTTTGATAGTTCTTAAACTATATTTTTAAAAATTGGAAAATATGTAAAATGTGTTCTAGGGTAAGCTTTGCCACTATATACAAAAAGCTTAAATGTCCCTATCAATGCAAACAAACTCAAATTGAAGTATAGCCAAAACAACGGACTTACTTGGTAAACCAAAAAGAGAGAATTATTCTTTAGTTGCTTATATTTACTGTTGAGTTTTGCGAAGGATAAAGACTAACAATTGATTCCAACATATGTATGTTGTAAACAAAAAAATATATTTAAACGGGCAACAAGCTTTCGGCATTCATTTCTGCATCATCGTCTGAATCGTCTTTGCTCTGCTGCGCTCGATATTTGCCAGTGCGAGGACGTTCTGCCGGAGGTCCCAAAGGATCAAACTGCTGGACTGTAAAAATAGGAAAAAGTATAGTATACCTAAGATCCTTCAGGAGCTGTCACAACCTTACCGGAATAAGTAGCAGTACTCTGAGTATAGGTCATACTTTTGGAGATGTCGCTGTTCTCTTGCAACCGTTCCTCATTGGATTGTCTGACTGCTGCAGGATAAGATAAAAAAATTAGTAAATATGTACAATTATATAAAATAAATAATATAATATAATAATATATATTCTTTTCACAGAAACTGATAACAACCGTCAGTGGATGTAATCATTCTACATACTAGCAATTAATACATACTTCGCAAGCGGCTGCTGGATGAGGTCGCAGAAGAAAGGCGCTGCTGCTGGTATCGCTGCTCGTTCTGCAGTTCCTGCTGCTGCTTTTGCAGGCGCGCGTAGTCCAATGCGTACCGATCGTGAAGATCAGCTAAGCCCAGCGACTTGGTCACTTGCATAAGGGCCCTTACGCAGGTAAGGTTGTCCGGAAAACGGGCGTAGATCTTCTGGAACATGCCTAGGTACTGCTTCGGTGGCAGGTACGAGTTGCGGAAGCAGCTAGCAATACGCAACATCAGGTTTGGATCGTTGGGATCGGCTAGAACCGCTCGTTCATAGTAGTACAGCGCCTTTTCCGTGGCCTGCAGCTTGATGTAGTAGGAGCCGATGGAGCTGGCGATGCCGATGTCGCTCATGTTAATGCGGTACGCCTCGTTGTAGTACTGATTGGCCTCCTGATGGTCCTGAATCTGCTCGTACAGAGAGCCGACCTTCTCAAACAGCCGCGAGTCGATGTCGGCAGCGGAAATTCCGAGTACCTGGAGGTAGGCTTGCAGTGCCGCTCCCGGCGCAGCGGTGGCTTTAAATCCGCCTCCCAGCCGACGTTCCTGCAACTTGGCCAGTTGGTAGAACACATGGCTGTGCTGTACAGAGTGAGGCATCATCAGTTGGGCCTTAAGCACCTCGAAACGCTCCTCGGCCAGCTCGAAATCCTGCTGCGCCAATGCCACAAGGCCTAGGTTGTAGTTGGCTTCAAAGTTCGTCGGCTGAAGTTGAAGAGCTCGCTCCAAACGGTCGCGGGCTGAAATGAGGTTCTGATTCCGCAAGTCAACTATACTGGCATTGATCAAAGCTAATGCATTATTTTCCAGTGCTCCGATTTCCTGAAGCTGATTAAGGCAATGCGTGGCCATCTCCAGGTTGCCGAGCTAAAAAAAACATTTTATTCATTATATTTGTATTTTCATAATTTTATCTGTTTGACACTTTAAAAAATTATATATTCGAATAGCAGTTTTATACTTTAATCATAAGACAGATCACCCAAGACCCCATACTAACGAACTGGGAAATATATTCGTTTTTCACTGGTATCATTGCAAATGGTGTTTAAAGTAATTAAATAACTTTGTAATAGAATTAATGGTGTACGTTTTTGACATTGTGTTTTCAAAACTCACACTAATATAGATGAAACTTAGGTTGGTCAGGGCGCTGGCTGTCATAGATCCTTCACTTTTACGGTCATACATTTGAAGTGTTTCAATCGCTTGATTTACGTCATTTTGTCTAAGGTAAACTAGAGCCTTGTTCAGCTCGAGTTCGTTGGCCAACCACGCCAGATTTGAAGTCTTGATGATCTCAATGCACCAATTGTATCCTGAAAAATTAGTTAAATATGTATTTATGACCGTTTATTTTATTTATAATGTATTCGGAATCTGGAAAAGCGATATAATAGTGTATCTAATACCTTGCATTGTTGTCGGTTCGTTTCTACATATTTTCATTATTAAGAAATTTACTTACAATATATAAAATTCAATTTATGAATAGTTGAAATTTGTTGTAATAGCTCACCATCGTTATAGTTCTCTTCGATTAAGGGTGAGATAAGATCTACAATCATTGTAATAGATCGCTTCTCCGCATTTCGGCGTTGATTTGTGTACACGGCGAGCTCGTCTTTTTTAAGGGCTTGGAGAACATAATGCTGTTTTGCCTTGTCCGAAAACTTCACGGTCTCCTCAACCTTTTCGTAAGAACCTCCACCTTCTGCATCGATCACCGCCACATCCGCGCTCCCGTTGTCCTCGCGGTCCAAGGACTTGTGCAAGTCCTGATTGCCAGCTGGTCCAACCTGGTCCGCCTGCTGCTGCAGTTTAATGATATTGCTCTCGCTTCCCAGATCGGTTTCCGTTTCCCCGGCAGGCACATCGCACAGGCTGCGAAAGGCCAACTTTAATTTCTCCACGTCGCCCATGGCGTAGTAGCAGAGGAGGAGGTGGATGCCACTCTTAATATCCGCCCGCTCAGACATGATGAACTCAAAGCTGGAGGCAGCATCCGAATAGGAGCCCATGCGAACGAGGAGGACGCCAATGTTTTCACGGATCTTAAGCCGCAACTGGCTCAAGTTCTTCGGCACCGAATCAAGGGCCATGCGATACATTTTAACCGCCTTCTGGTAGATTCCCATATTGTAGTAGATGTTGCCCATGTTTATCTTTAGCTGGTTGACGTGTGGAAACATCTTGTTCTTGGTCATAATGCTGTAGGTGTTGAGGGCCTCGATGTGCAAGTCATTACGTTCGTATTGCTCGGCAAGATTAAAAAAGACCTGTACCCAAGATATTTAATTTTTCTTTTTAATGATCCTTGTATTCTCTCACCGCATATGTTAAATCGAAGTTGTGGTAAACATTTTCGCCTTGCTGGTCCCGAAAACGGTGCAAAGTTCGATCCAATGAGAAAGCTTCTTTGGCCTTATTCAACGACTCAGCTAATGCCGACTTTGCCTCAGAGTTAATATCGCCACTCGATCGAGCCGCGGAGCTTTGCCAGGCCAATACTATGGACGATTCCAAGAGCTTCACAATCTTGCCCTCCAGATTCTTATACTTGATTTGTGGGCTATAATCATTAAAAAAATCTTCAGATATATACTTAAGTCTTAATTTAAAATAAAACAGGACACTTTCAAAACTGGTTCAAAAGCAATAAACGGTTGGTTGTAAGTATTACAACAGCAAAACGATGATTTAAAGAGTTCGTAGTTGCTTAATCGTAAATAGGAACATTCGGAAAATAGTCAAACTTTGTTGTTTTGTAATATATTCAAATTTGGTAAAAAGATTGCTATAATATGTTTATTAATTGTTTAATAATTATATGCTTACTAAGTCTTACTTCTTCCAATAAAGAGCGTTATAAGATAAGTTAAGTTAAAAGATAAGTTTATTTTACTATCAGCATTACGTATGCCAAACAACAAATATATTTGCCAGAAGTACTCGTTTAAAAAAATGATTTATCTGTACCAAATAAGTAACTATTATAGCAGAAAAAATTGCTTTATATTTAAACCAAAGATAATTATAATTTCTGTTTTACGTTAAAAAAATTGTATGGAAAGTGAAAAAAAAAATCGTTGTTCCTACTCACTTTACTTCCTTGGCGGCATCCACAGCGTTTGCCGACGAGAGGGTATGCTGCTTGGCCTTTTCCAGGAAAAACTGGTCGAACTTTTGGCCAGCAGATCCGCTATTGGCTGCATAGCCCACGGCCCGGACTGCTGTTGATGGCCTAGCCAGAACTGACTTATCGCCTCCTGGTGCCCGACTACTAACCAGATTGCCGCGCTGAATCACAGGAATTACTTAATTAATTAAATTTGCCCTAAAATCCCAGGACTCACCGAAAAGAGCTGAGAAGTGGGTGGCCTTGGCCTGCCCGCCGCAGTTGGTGGGGGAGGAGGAATAGCTTCTGTTTCGGACCCAGCCTCCAAGACTCCCTGGTTATTATTGACACTGGTTTTTAAATCCATTTTTATTATGTTGATTTTTTTCGGCGATTTTGCGGCATGAATATAGAGTAAACGAAAAGTAGCCTATCGAATATTTTTTTTTTCAATAACAACCAATTTTAAGGGTTGACGTTTGTTTTGGTCGAGTTTCCTTGGTGATCAGAAGCCAAATTCACGCACAGTGGCACGATTTGAGGTTTTCTTTGTAAAACGCATATCCCTAGAGCCAAAAGACGTTATCGAATAATTTAAATGGCATACGATAGATATTTGCTTAGCATAATTCATTGTAATAGCATACTTATAAAATATAAAACTCAAAATTTGTGATAAATCCATTATGTGTCACTTGGAAAAAATTATTTTAAACGCTTTATATGTTTTTTTAAACGATAAATTTCTGAAAATATTTTAAAATAAAGATTTTTCATCTATAAAAGTTTAATAGTTTACATATATGGAAATCTATTGTTAAAGCTTCACTCCCCAGTAAGTGCAAGTGCGATTAAAGCTAAGTGAAACAAGAAAGGAAGCAAACTTTCGCAAGCCATTTCGATTTCTATTCTATTACTATCAAGAAAGGAAAGCTAACTTCCGGCGGCGCCAAAGTTGAGATTTTTTATGAGTATTAAAAATTCATCATATGAATAATTTTGGAGAATATAATTTACAGAATATTCTGCAAGGGTATATTAATTTCGGCTCCGCCCGAAGTTAGCTTTCCTTTCTTGTTTGAATTCTTTTTTCCGATTGTTCCTATGGGATCTATATGATATAGTTGGTGAAAATATATTTATTAGTCTAATAATTTCCAAACTTTAATCATTATAATCATACTCTTCTTGGGACTTTAAATGCAGCAGAACAAATAAGTGGATCGGAAGACTCTTGGAACATGTTAAAATAAATATTCTCATTTTGCACTTTTCTTGGTATAGATCTTTATAACACTTGTTTAGGGATCCTATGCAACTTCGATAAGCTCTTCTATTGGCTTAAACTGGAATTCGATTATATCTTCTCAATGCGATAATCATTTGTGGACGGTGTCAATTTTTTAAAATTCGTTTAAAAGTGATACAATTTTTGAATCATATTTCAATTCATCTTTTTCCTTACAACTTGAAGCATTCAAAATTTTTTTTAATTGTGATTAGAGTTACTGCCTCGTGTACTTATTATCTGAACACACTTACATACTATATGCATCTGCTCATTTGGAAGGCATAGTATTAGTTTCTTTACGTATTATGTATAAGTTTATCTAAATATTGTGAGCAGACTTTGTCTTAGGCTCTTAGGGAAGATATCGATTATCTTTTAGAAAGAAATATGTACTTAGATATCTTTTAGCAATCGAAACATATTGTATAAGGAGTGGTTTATAAGATAGGATAATTCTGACACTTTTTGACATTTAGTCAGTTCTGGAAGAGTTATCTTTTGACCATCTTTAAAATAACAAATTTGGTTTTTTATCTGGATAACAAAACATCGAATTCGAAAGTATTTGAGCTTTGATATTGAAATTAATTTCAAACAAACCGCACAGTGTGTTGACACACACCGTTGAAACCAGGCACAAATATTTATTTTTGTGTGGCTAAATTAATAATATTTTTAAACGACATTTTTTCTCTGTACAGCCATCATTTTCAAACAAATATGACCCCAGCTGAAGACGCATATGCCTACGGGCGTTACAGTGAGCGTGCCTGCCCTCATATGTATCATTCAAATGTTCAATCTCTTGATCTCTCTCTAGAAACTTTAATTGTTCAAACGGGCATCGCTAGAGCAACTCGGCTATTAATCTTGGTCAATATTTTATTTGCAAGCCCTTTACAAGAGGCCGCGGTTTCATCCGTTCGAAACGCGGTTTCATCCGTTCGAAACGGTTGGGATTTTTGACAAAAACCGATCGATTTCGGTATTACCAGGTTAACGAGGCAGTATTTTTAGTTTTTATTAGTTTTACGTGATATCTAATGTAGCTTAAGAATAATGAAGTGCCTTAATAAATGCCAAAATACTACCATACATAACTGCATTTAAATCATTTTCATATTCCCTACCGTTTGCCAGCTTTATGATTTTGTGTTTCAAGTTACGTCTGCACGAAATACGCTGTGAGCCACTGTATTTGAGAGACCGGAAAAAAGTAGAAAACTTTTAGCGGGTGGTGTTTTGGGAAATAAAATAAAAACCAAAGCTAAATACATGCATATTATAAATTGTACAGTTGCTTTCAGTACTTTTATCTTAAACTTAATATAACTACTTTGGTATTAATTTAAATGTTGCTAATTTAGCGTTTAAGGTTGCTTTTGGTAGGTAGAAAATTTAATTTAAATTTGTTTAAACATATTTAAAGCAAAAAACAGAAATCATTGTTGATTCACTCACCGCGATTGGAAGCAACTACCCCATCAGCTAATTCACAATTCAAAGCAGAATTAGAAGTTAGCCCGAGATCCTAGTAAGTAAAAATAAAAGAAACTTAAAATCCATAAATATATAATAATGAATAAAGGAATATATTTAGTGGTCAATATCTTTTGAATGCTGCAAATAAATATGTTTAAGTTGCTTTTTCCGTTTAACGATCAAATGTTGTTTATCTCAGCATATACTTAAAGTTTCATTGTGTTATGGAAATTTTACGCACTACGTACATATGTAGATTGTTAGGTCTTTCAATTAAAACAGAGGAAAATAATGATAAGCGTATGTGTATAGGCATTTATACCCCCAACCATAGTTTATGACATTTTTACGATGCTGCTGTGTAACTGCCTGAGGTAAAACAAATTATAATATGACATCGCGAGAGACGTGAATACATTTCTCAGACCCAAGCAACCTGTGGGTATTTCGCGAAATAATGCGCTTGGTCTCGTGTCCTACACTTTATATTTAGTAGGGAACTACTCTTAATATTTTCCACTTGGCTACAGTGTACGGAACTTTCCATTTGCTTGACTCGTGTTATCGCAAGCAATTTAGCTGTTGTGGACTTAGAAAACGAGGGGGACCCGAGCTCCAAACGAAATGTAATCTGATTGCATTTGGCAGCGGCAGAAGCCGAATAAGGATGATGGGGAAGATAGGGAGTCATGTTCCGGAGACTGCCAAAGGCGTTTCGCTTAATCAAACGTCGCTCTTTGTGTCAGCACGACATTCACGCCGTTTCCAGGAGTCCATTGCTTCGTTTCCACTCATTGAGGCAGTCAGTCAATTAGTCAGCGAGGCAATCCTTGAGATTGATTGTGCTTGCTCCTGCCTAAATATGAAAAATGTAATCGAGGTAAGAAAGTCATGAAAATAGCACCTTCAACAGAGAAAGTTTCTGATATTAAATTTTATTAGGAAGAATGTTTTTACATTTGACTCAACTGATACTACATTTGCTATAGTCCGATCCAAACCAGTGGTCTACCGTTCGAAAGTTATTGTTAATCATAATAAGACTTTTTTTACTCCTAATTTATTCATATTCATAACCGAAATACACGTCGAACGGTACCAAAATAATTTCTTTCCTTTACCTATAAACAAATTTTCTAATACATCGTGTCAAAAAAAATTGTAGTTAAAATTGAAAAGGTGCGCTTTACCGATTAGAGTCCGATATTTGAAGAATACAATATATCTTGAATAATATGCAACTATATAAAAATGCAGCAACATTATGCCGCACCACTAACCATACAACATTTGTTGTACTAACGTTATTATTGTTATTCGGGAACGATACACCTTGGATGTTATGGAAGCTTTTTTTTTAATTTGCTATTTCTACTTCTGTTTCAAAATATTTAACTTACAAACCACGTTAGTGAAGTTTAGCAAGCGAAGCTTGTGTGCTGGAGTTGAAGTGAAAGTTAACCTTTTCTTTACCGTCGATTGGAGAAATGACAACGGGCAGTCTGCAAACCCCAATATCAATATCATGTCATATGTGGTAGGGGTGAAGGCAGTCCGCCAACTACCAATATGAGTTTAAGTTTCTGGCTAAAATTTACTTTAGCTCAAATTAAAAAGTTCAAGTTTTTTTTGCCTCGACGGGGTTCACTGAGCGTGTAAAGTTTTACAACCGATGCTCGAAAGTTTTCTTCGCCTTTCTCTGTGGGCGTGATTGCACTCAATATTGTACTTTGCCTTGTACTTTATGCGCCACCGCACAATCATTAAAGTTGGAATGGAATCGGGACTATTCTCTGGTCACAAGTCCCTCATGTTGGGTCCTCAGCCCCGAAAGTTTTTGATTGTTTGTCATTGTGCAGGAATTATTCAGTCATTCTTTTTCGTCGGTGGGGGTCATGTGGTGTTCTTCTGTAAAGTTTCAATTTGTGAATTACCAAGGAAGTCGCCTGATGGGTCCAAAAAATCTAGATAAATTGGCTTTAATAAAAACAATAGATTTGTATGTGGTAAATAAATCATTTTATCGGCCATAACTTTATGTAAGTAAATCATTTTATCGGCCATAACTTTATGTAAGGATTCGATTGGGGTTTACTAATCATCATCTAATAACCGATGATGATGATTAGTAAGCCTCAATCGAATCCTTACATAAAGTTATGGCCGATAAAATGATTTACTTACAAATTGGTTGAGGCGAAATTCGATTGAGCAACGGGTCAACGCTCAGTGGTACAAAACAAAGATGGATTGAAGAAATGCAAAACAGCAGCATCAGCAGGGATAAAGCAATAGACAGCAACCAATGCCTTCTAAGTTGGTTAAGAGCTCTAACAGATTTGGTTTGCGGGCGCGCAGCTGAAAACTTTACGCCAAAAGAAGTTCAAGAAACACCAGACTCTTAAAAGCTTTTGTGGTTATTGCTTTTTTATACCCTTGCGGAGGGTATTATAATTTCAGTCAAAAGTTTGCAACGCAGTGAAGGAGACATTTCCGACCCTATAAATTATATATATTCTTGATCAGCATCACCAGGAGAGTCGATCTAGCCATGTCCGTCTGTCTGTCCGTTTCTGGGCAAACTAGTCCATCTCTTTTAAAGCTACTTGATACTTTCTATTGCAGGTAGTATATATGTAAG